CAAATTGATCACAAAAAAGAAGAACAAGTCTTCACATTGGTGACTTGCTTTGCTTTTAATTGTAATGTTGAGGCAAATGTAGTAGACTCAAGTCAATTTTGGGTCTTTTGAGTCAGGTGTTAAGTTGTTGGTGAATAGAATCTGTTGGTGTGTGGTGTGTTGTTTTGATCATAACAAAACTGTTCAAATTTATCATATCATTCTAAGTCTGTCTCTTATTTTGCAAACAGTCAAAAATCTTTCAGTGTGGGTCAACCCTCATGGGAACTTAAAAGATATAATATGTATATCAAAGTTTTAAAAAAGCCACCTTGTTGAATGTTTACTGCAATCAAATCAAAATAGCGATGCAGCAAACAGTTTTGTCTTTGCTCTGTTTTGTCTGGCGAAACATCATTAGGTTTATTATATGACTAAAGAAGATGCAAATGCTCCCACTAAAAAAGCGTGAACAAGTTTAAACAAATATAAAACATATGGTTTTTGTAGGATTTCCTTCCCTTATCTACCAAGTCCAAACCAGATTTCACAGCAGAACTCCTTCCTTTTTTCATCTAAGTATTAGCAGTCTAAACCACCTATAAACCTCTCACACAGCAATCCACTCACGATTAATGAAGTGCTTACTTAACCAATTTAAACCCTTAATTCCTATTAATTCAACACAATAGCCACCCTCTCTGCCAGAATTAACGACAGTGGAGCAGAAACGCACGAGTCTCTGCAGGCCGCAAAGAGTCAAGCCAGCAAATTCCACATCCTTTGATAAATATGTAACAGTATGTATATCACTGTTAAAATGCATAACCCTCGTGTAAGACCCCTATCAAGTCTGCTTTACACCTGTATTCCATTTCCCCTCAATCAGCAGCTTTTCTCAGACACCGGCCTCCCACGAGGAGCAGAAACCATTACATGGGGCTGCAGCTCATTTGCAGAAAGATTGGAGATCATGCTGCATCAAAAAGTATGTGAAGCATTTCTCTGAACAAAATTGATTTATTCCATTTCTATGTTTGTATGCAGCATCGGTATCAGTGTATTTAATGTAAATCCCCAGTCAAGCATTGAGTTGCTGCATAGGTTGCTGCTTATTGTGCAAGTAAGAAGCAGGGCAATCAAATAACACAAGGCGCCCGTTCTGCTGCAGAATGAAGGTATGCACAGCATTTTTATTTAGAATACTTTGTCTTAAACTATGAAACTGATATACAATGTGATGAATTATATCAATCAAGCAAAGCCATGCATTACGCCATTCTTTCGAATCCACTGACGCCGCTTGTTTAAGCTACAAAGACATTAGGCTGCTCTTTGGTGAAATAAAAAGGCATAAGCAAATAAATAAATATTCCAGAATATTTCAATTTTGACTCGGGAAAAACAGATCAAGCAGAGCCCGTGGCTAGAGGAGCCTGACTGCATGCTGGTGGGGGGTAGAAGACAGCCTGGGGGGTGTGGAGGGCGTCTGTTTTTTAATGAGCTGAAACTTTAAATACTGCATAATATATAATAAAAATGGATAGTTCATTTAACTCCCCCGATAAGTCATGGAAAAACTATTAAAATCCATTACTCTCCTAATGTCAACAGAGTAAGCATTAAGTATGAATGAAGGGAACAGGGTAGCACATCATCGCAAAGAAAGAAAAACAAAACAATAATCAACTTGAACCAAAGGAAGAAAAAAAAGAATTGGGGTATAGAGTTAAGTGCACAAGCTTAAGGGCATCTGCTAAAGACGGGAGAACAACAACTATGATAAAACTATACAATTTTCTTTCCACTCAAAGAATACTAAATTAGCATGTTTATCATACTTTAATATATGAAATAGAATATGAAGAGCGCAGATGAAAGTGTACAAAATGGCTCTTTACTACAGCTACTTCTGCTGAGTCCAGTCATCATCTGGGAGTGGTCCACAACTAGAAAAGCTACAATAGATGACTGACAGATATTTCAGCCACCCACTGACTACAGCTTTGGCAACACTGATTGGCACAGCAGGCAGGAGTGTTTCAATGCTCCCCCGTCTCTACACACTCACACATAAATACACACACACATATAGGACACGTCATAAAGATGGAGAAGAAAAGGGGGATGTAAAGAGAGGAATTATGGTGCCTCTCATCATCCCTTGGGTGAAGAAAACACCATAATAGATTTTTAATGGCTCCAGTAGGATAACCCCCCTCTAAAGGAAAAACAAAAGTAACAGAGTTAAGTGCGAATGACAAAAGGTCATCAGTTATTAACTACTGACAAACATATTTTGACAACACGAAAATGTTATGTTGCAGAGGCGCTTTAAAAGTGTACATATGAGCAAGTATAGGGGTTTGTGCAGTTGAAAAGTAATGAGCTCTATGTTCCAGCTGTCACATTATTATTCAAAGAGTGCTATTTCACTGTGAGTTTAGTGACAATGTTGGCTGACACCTCTGCATTGAGATTTAATTCCAGTGTGATCTTAAAGTGATCTGAGTGATGGCTCTGGTCCCCCCGCTGCTCACGCAGAAAGCAGGGAGATGGTGCTGGTGGCCGATCCAGAGGCTCAAAAATGATCACCTCGCCAGCATTAGCTGCAGGGGTTGTTCACACAATAATTGTTTCTGCCAAGCCATATATCTACATGACAGAGAAAAAACTGCTGTGGCTTTCCTGTTAAATAATTGATTTTAAGAATTGGCTGCATCAACTATTTCAGGATGAACATGGACCGTAGTTTTTTTTTCTTTCTTTTTTTTGCACTAAAGAAACTGAGAACTTATTAGCTAATTAGAAGATAATTACAAGTCTCTGCAAGTTGATTAGCAATTTCACTGTTGAACATTAACAATTTACGGCAACACTACACTCAATTTTAGCACTTGTTTTGCTTTACTTACCTAAATTCTAAATAGTACAAGTATTTAAAGATTTCACCTTGACAAAACTTATTACCAGCGTCAGCATGCAATTAAACTTGCCAAACAGGCATTAATTCTTTGTTCATTACCACATTAGATGTGTGTGGGGTGAATTAGACACTTCAATACAGGACAGGACTACAGCAGCTATTAGAGGCATCAATCCTGCATTAAATCCTGATGTATTTTCTTCATTTACAGCAGCTCATTTGCACTGCAGATACTCTAGACCTGCACAGGCTGTGACTGAAGTTCCACATGTGTAATGCTAAGCCTTTGCCTGGACTGAAGAGATGCCCTCCCCTGCAGTTTAGAGTGACTCAAAGGTGAAGCCCTGAAAATGAATACAATGCACCCACATGCTCCACAGTTAGGATTTCACTGACTCACATCATCCTGTAATAGCCGCACACAAAGCTGCAGTCAGTCGCAAACCCCGTGCAATTGTGTCTGGCTGTATGCAGCGGTATCAATGCAGCTCACGGGTCAAAGGGTCAATGAGTAATTAAGACATGGTTGCCTGAGCATTCCCCATGCACACTTTCAGTCCTGATGAAAGGAGGAGGATTTAAGTGCAGCCTGATACTGCGGATCAGATTTCTATAAGTGTGTCTAACTGTTTCTTGTTCAAGGCAATTAGTATGATTAACAAACAGTGTGGTGTCATCAGGTTCTTTGGGAGGATCTTGCGCATGAATTCTGCATCAGGTTAAGACATTCCACACATGGCAGAGGTTACACTGCTTCGATTAAAAATGCACTCTCCTCTTGAGTTGTGGTTTGGGACTTTGGTATTTATTGTGCATCCAGGGATATCTTTTTTTAACATCTCGTTTAGTAATCATTAAGCTGACCTATAAAAAAAGCAGTTCTTTCTTTAAGTAGGGAGGTTGTCTTGCGGTTGTCTGGGTCTAGGTTAGGCTTCCAAATAAATCCAGACTCTCACATTTACACTATGAAAGAGGATCGGCAAATTTTACAAACCAAGACCCTCATGAAGAGGTTGTACATCATCAAACACATGCAGGCCAATATCACAGCCTTCAAATGTGAAGAAGGTCAAGAGGTGCATTGATTTACATGTACAACAAGAAACTATTCGTTGGGTTTCATTGTTGCCAAAAATGAGGAGGCCAAGGCCAGAAAATTGAGGTCGCTGATAAATGCTATTAGCAGGAGATGCTGAGGGGTGAAGAAATCAATATGGCAGTTTGTCAAGCTGCCGCTCAGAGGGATCACGGCTCTGCAGCAGAGGGAAGCGTGCCCTGTCAGCAGAGCACATTACCAGAAATCAAAGGCCGGAGAGGGCCTGGAGGAAGGGATGTAGATGTCTCTGTGCAAAGGCCACACTTTGGTAATTAAAACCTATTTTATCAGACCTGTCTTGTCACTGGTTTTTCTCTAACACTATTGACTATCTGTTGCATGGAGAACGATCAGTAATGTAGCTTTAAATAAATGAGCCAGAGTTATTTAAATTCTTGCATTTGTCACACAAAACGAAGCAGAGGACATGGCGGTATTGAATAAATTATTCCACTTGGGTGAATTATTAACAACTCTTTAAGACACAGGCATTGAAGGAAGTGTGGTCTGTCTTATTTACCATTACTTTTTTCCCCTTGAGTATGTAAATGTAGGATATGGCAAAAATCAAACCCCCCAAAAAATATATTACAGCCAAATGATTTTGCACAGTTTAATGTTTAAATATATATATTTTCATTGCACTGAATGTAAAAGACGTGAGCACTGCTGACTTGTACAACGTTCACTTGTCCACTGCAAAAACATTCTGGAAAAGAATACCATCTATTCTCGGAGAAACCTTAAACTTTCTATTAAACTTTAATGGAAAGTAAGCTTCCAAATAAACACCATCCGTATTGTATGTCAGTGCAGCAACATGCACAGCTGACTGCAATTTTTAAATCTTAAATAATTAAACACAAATGAACCTGTTCAGGCGAAGGAACCACTAATGACACGGATGGCACTTTTGTCAATAGGTCCAGTGGAGCATCACCTTGGGAACAGTCCTGAATACAGCCGTAACACGTGTGTGAATCGTCCTTTTTTATGGTTTCAGTACTGTGCACCGTCTTGTTCCTTGTAGGCGAAATACACAGTGACAGGTCCGACACTTGTTTGTACTGTTTCTGTGGCTCCAATCACCATCCAGCAGCCTATGCCGTAAGCCAAACAGGGGATACCTGAATGAAAAAGGTAACATGTTTATTTGGCATTTGAAGGGCTTTTTAATACAATTGAATTACAATTTAAATGATATTGACTTACCCAGATTGATCACTTTTAATATAGTGAAAAACCTGTCCTCAAAGTCCAGGTTCTGTGGGGGGGCTTTGGTACAGTGGTATTTGATAAAGGGGAAGCAGCCTGTTCTCAGTATTTGGTAGTTGGATCCCTGGACCCCCCAGTTAAAATTGGACAGGCCAAACTGGTCATTGTGGACGGAGCTGTAGCGGACACAGAATGAAGTCCACGGGGGGAGTTTTCGCTGCAGCAGGTGACAGGTCAGCACCTCTGAGGCAGCAGGCTGAGGGCCTTTCCTGCCGAGGGTGCTCGGAAATAAGGTGATCTTTAGGAAGGTGGTGTGCACCCTCCTCAAAAACTCCTTCATGACTTATACAGATTTGGTTAGGTGAGTCACTTTAGCTGCTTTTCGGTTATCATTGTGATTTACATAAAGTCTTGACAGTGTTTTGCTTTAAACTTAATCTATTGAGTTTAAACCTGTCAGTAAACGACAGTAAAACATGATATAGCTACACGTCCTCTCAAGAAGTGGAGGAAAAAAAGAGGTCAACGCTGCAGCTAGGACTGCTAACAAGCGCTGTAAACACAGCAAACACACAATTCAACCAGCGACACAGATTTACTTTCACATACAGGACAAAAACGAGCAATTCAGCTTCACAGAGAGATAAACAGACATTAAAAGAGCCGCTCTAACATGCTGCAGCATCGGCTGCTCTGACCTGGTACTGCTGCCACAATGGTCCGGGTGGAAACTCAGCACTGCCTCATTGTTCCTCTTTCACGGTGTAAGACAGGAATAGTTTATCAAGCTTTTCACTGAATGTTTGCCCAAGTGTTAAGAGAACGTTGATGGATGTTCAGCTTGAAATAAGATCGCAGTATATTAGCCCGTAAAATAAAATGCAAGTTAGCTAATATCGCCAACAAATGTAGTTTAGAAGATACAACAATTACACACTAGATGAGTACTACTGCTTTGTTTTTGTAAGTAATCTACGGCAGTAGTTCTCAACTGGTCTCACTCTGGGCCCCACATTTCCCCATGGTCATTAAGTCGCGACCCGCTTTTATAATATTCAAACCAAGCAAATGTATTTCTTTGTACATATAAAAAGACTCTAGTATTTCACATAAATCCTCTTGTTTTATTGAGTTAAGTGCATTTCAGAGCACATGAATGGGGCAACATGAGGACTACTGAAGTTGCATATGCAGAAAATATCAAATATCATATAAATATCGCATTAAATATTTACTTTTTTGACCAGCTGTTCGTGTCCCATCCAGAACCTGTCCACGACCCACTTTTAGGTCGGGACCCACCAGTTGAGAACCACTGATCCATGGCAACTTTTAACAAAATAGTGCCTGAAAACTTAATCAATCTTTGATCAGCCAGATTAGTGACAAGCAATTTAAATTGGTTTGCATTCATATTTTTTTTAAATGTATGGATAAACTGAATTACTCGCTGTTAACACAAGGGTGTATGTGGACAAACCTGGATGGTATGAGAGCAGTATCTCTGGAAAAGTTTGGTCATTTTTTGGTAACTGTGTAGAAAATTGCATGTGCTTGCAAAAACGAAAAACCTGAGAAGGTTCTGATTTGAGACTCATCAGGCCCTAGCCAACATACAAAACACAGATAACACATAGCTAATTGATGCAGATCTCACATCTGTGCATTTGTTTTTAATATACTTAGTAATGTTAATTGTCCATCATTACAAACATAACGCATTAAAGCACAATTTTTTTCATGCCAATAACTGTGAACACTGAAAAAATAACATTGTACTTGATATTTCATTGTATGTCAAAAACACATCTGTCGGCTTACAGAGGTCTGAAGTTCACTTCAGTGAAAGTCTGAAGCCCAGTTCATCAGGCTTTTCATCAACCGATCACACAGCAAAGGTTTACAGAAGCTATTCATCGCTGTGAGATACTATTTACCATTATAGTCATACCCATCCAAGCAATACGCTCATACTAACAATTTATCCCTGTGTCTGCTCAAGAAAAAAAAAATCAGTATATACTTTCATGCGTAATTATTTTGTTCATGAAAGAAATCCTCTTATTTAATACGTGAACATAGTTAATTATACATCATTGTACCTGTCATACATTTTAGGAAAGGAAAAAATAACATTTGTTGTATTATAACACCCACAACATTTAGTTTGTGTTCACCAATTTATTGTCTGACTTGTTAAACAGCTTATTGTGCATTACAGCTGGCAGACACATGTGATGTAACTTGGCTTGAGTCAGGGAGTTTGTCAGTGAAGCAGCTGTTTAAGCAGCAGTTTTATCCTCCACTGCTTCCATCTTATTCTTTCCAGTCAGCTGCAGCACTTTTTCTATTTCCTTGATCAACCCCTACAACAACAGAAAACAGGTTAGAATGAATTCAAGATTAAAAAGATTTTATTCTGATGCACTATTTTTTTTCTCAGCACAAGCATTCCAGCTGACCAGCACTTCACTGAATATTCAAGTTAAATTATACAGATGAGGAGAGATCGTTAAGTCATTAACAGGGTACCTTGAAATTGGTTTCTCCTTGCATCTTAGGGGCTGATATTTCCTGATGAATGACGGACAGATTCTGAGCAAAGGTCATGAGAGCTCCCTGGAGATCTTCTGAGACAGTCCTATTAACAACACCCCAAACAAACGAGTTTACTAATGTTTCCCATAGTGCCAGCTAAGAAACAATCACCTCCTTCGTCTGATGGTGCTGGTTAAATGAAACTTTCAGCAGACAACATCTTCAGTCTTTGGGGGGATGAACACAGCTTGATTTAACTGTTCCAACATTGTGAAAGTGAAAGGATTCTGGTGATAAATATGTTAAATAACCCTCCGCTTAACAACTGTTGGACTTTGTAACAACATTAACAAAGCCAGAGGTGGCACCTTAATCTTCGAAAAGAAATGACTACTCTTAGTCAAAAGAAGTTTTCACTTCAATCTCTATTGTTTTTCATATCCTTGACTATCTCAGCAGTGTGGAGTTAAGCAACGCCTACATATGCTCTAAATCCTTTCTGCACATACATTTAACAAATAAAAAGAAATAAATACTTACATCATTCCCATTACGGATCTGTCAGTGCTGTCATACAGAGCAAAAACGGTGCCTTGCTTCTTCTGAAATTACAGATTCAAAATGTACAGCAGACAAAGACGAGACCCATCATCACACAGTGTTGTCATTCAGGCTGACATACAGATCCATCACTGCATTTATATAACTTTGTGTGATCTATGAAATAGATTTTTTTCTAAAATCTACACAGGAGAGACAGAGATATTATTCATTCTTCCTGCACACCACGCAGCTTATCAGCTCCTCAAATGTCTAAAAAATCTGTGTAATGCCTCTTTAAATCAAACACACTCTAAGATGTCAGAAATGAGTCAGACAGGAAAACAAGTGAATGTCTATATTTGTTCGTTTTTTCTCTACCTTCATGTTAAATCCTATGCCATGAGCCTTGCATATCTTTAAGAACACATGGTGATACAGCATGGAGAGGTTTGAGTGAAACAAGTGGCTCACAAAAACTGCGTAACAACTTCCAGCAGGAGGCTGTGAAAAAAGAAAGCGACAGAGAGAAAGAGTATTGGTGCATCATTGGTTTTAACCTTCCATTTTCAACAAGACAATCATGATTAGTTGTATTAGGTTTAAGGTTTGAGGCTAATAGGTGCTTGGGTATATAAAACCGGTAGTGTAGCGATGGCTGAACCCCATACACATGTCCTTAGGGTCACTGTTGAGTTTTGGGAGTGTGTGTGATTAGTAAACATGATGCATGTGGGGCACATGTGGTAAACTGTTGGGCCTTTCTTAATTAACTGCAGGGAGGAACAATTAATGGTTAGAAAACATGCCAAATACAAGATGGGCTTAATTGTACGATGCCACTCAAAGACATGACGGTTTTAGGGGGAAAAAAAGGTTGCATTCCATTTGAGACAAAAGCACTTCTGACTGCACAAAAGGACTCCTCTTCAACACATTACTGTACAATAGGTGTGCTCTGAGCATGAGTGTGATAAGTAACACTAGAGAGGTTGATTACTTAAAAGTGGCAGCGCTCAGGAGGATAAAAACCTTCCTGGTTCTGCGGTACCTTTGGGAGAGGAGAAGAGTGAGCCTAAGCCCCTCGGAGCTCAGGAGAGAGCCCATAACTCGCCGTGATGGCTGTGTGTTTACAGTTGTCAAACACAGGACCCTCACATAACAATAAAAGTGTCCAACAGTGGTTTAATTGTGTTTGTAATATGCAGGTCCCTAATGATGGCCACTGCAAAAGCCATTAACCACTGCGCTGGCTCAAGTGCTGCACCGAAGCGCCAGGCCACTGACTAAATGAATGTTTGATAAAATAACACAAGCTGCAGATTAACAAGCGTAAACTCAGGCATACTGCTAATAACAGAAGTCTATTGTTTGAGGCCTGGCACCAGGTTGATGAGGTGTTCAAGCATGCATACACATGCATAATGAAAATGGTATGAATTATTAATGTGTTGATTATTTAGGCTCATCCATCAAAATGATAATGAATTCAGCACCTAAACACCAATTGAGCTCAGTGCGTAATTACAGTATTTAGTTGTATTTAACAAAAATAAAGAGCAAAACATTGATCTATCTTTGTGATTACTACAGTGGTATAATTATGTCCTATAAATCTTCAGCTTCCTTTAGACCCGGTGGTTGTTTTCTAAAGTAAAATAACACGGGAGGAGAATAAAACTTGAAATACAGAATAAAACACACATTCTTCTCTTTTAAGAAAATAATTTCAACTATCAAAACTGTTATTATGAGTAGATATAAAAAGGTACTTTAGCTGTAGTCTCGTGTTCACAGCATGTCTCTCTGATTGGCATTGGCACTTCTAAACAGCCTGTACGGCAATTCAGCGACCCTCCAGTCATCATCAGAAGCATCTGTGTCATGGCCAGCTGATTACTGTATGTCAGGTCCAGATCAATAGCCCATACCTGCACAGAAGAAAGTATGAGCTCTGTGTTGTACCAAAAAAGCTGACAAAATAACCTTAGTGAACCCAATTTAACCACAAAAGGGAAATATCTACATTTTTCACCCAGTAATACTCAATAGTCAGACAAGTGTTGGTACCTTTTAATCCTTGCAGTTTTATCCAGTTGAGTAGCGAGGGAAAGAAAGAAACACTGTAAATAGTGTGTGTGCCACAGTGTTAGGTAATTCAGTTGTGGAATGACACATGCACAAAGTAGGTCCTTCACAGTGTAGTTGGATTCAGTCTGCCCTTGGCTACTTTGTGTGGCTCAGGTCTGATGAGAAGCTAAGTCCAGATATGTATGGTAAATGGCATCATTATAAGTATATTAAGGGGTCAGGTATGGTCGTAGCCTTCTGCTTAAACAGGGCTAATTTTCCCAATAATAACCTAATAGCTATGCCCTCTCTTCAAAAGTGGCAAATAAATCACCAGTGAAGGAGTTGTTAATAACTAAGTGGCAGTCGGCTGCCTCCTTTTGCTGTTCCTATTTGTCAAAGTAAACGCTCCTGCCACTGAATGCAAATCGCTGCCTGTCTGAACCCTGCAGTCTTTCTAACCTGAGCTCTTTATCTCCACTAACACTCTGATATCTGACCACATACAGGAATCCTACTGAAAGTTACATTTCATTTTATTCACAAAAATATGTGGTTAAAAAAAATGGCCTGCAAAGGTAGATAATTATTTCTATTTTTAACCTAAAAATTAAGAAAATTTAACAATTTCAAAACCATCAGTTGTTCAGGTCATCTAGTAAAAACATCAAGTAAAAATTTAGAGATTTTAAAACAAATTTGTTCACATTTCTAACAAAGTGCATGAAAAACTCTCCACATAGCCCTAAATTAATTCTGAAATTTAAGGGGGAAAAGGAACAAAAACATGATTTTAATATTTCCAACATCAGGTGCTTTGGCAAAACCTATGTTTTTTTTTTTTTGATTGTTGTCAGTGATATTCTACAATAAATTTTCCCTGAGTGAAAAAAGGATTGTATTTCATTTACAACTACACCAGTTAAAAGTGCAATTCCTCTTTTTTGATCAAGCTTTAAAACCAGCTATATGACGGCTAAAGAACCATTTGTAACATGTTCTAAGATACACACTTCAAAACAATCAAAAGCATTTTACATTTACGTTATGTAGCCCTGCACCTCGTCACCTTTTACTGTCAGAGCTAGCTAACACTGAATACAAATCTCCTTGCATCCAGTTGGTACCTGGGCCTGCAGGATGAACACCCCTAATGCCATTCACAAGACTCACTAAAAATCATACCCCATGTCTCATTGTTGCTTTTAACAAAGCTGTGGCAAATGTAAGCCTGGATTGTACCTGTTTTCTATTGCCTTGCATTTTCATTAAAATCCCTGATGCTGCAGCTGGGGCCCCACCGTTCCACAATGTGAGGGAGGACTGCAAGGGCAAACATATGTGACCCACTTCTTCACATCAAATAAAGTAGGCAGCTTTTAGCAACAGGTTTGAATCTAAATTGATGTTTAAATCCAGACAGGTTTGCCCATGTGGCTCTCCTCTGTCTGCATCTGTGTGAGGGGAGATGCTTAAGAATCCGCCTTTAATGTTCCTGCTTCTATTCAAGCACATGCTGTTTATAGTCTGTTCTTAATTATGCTGTCAGTGAATCCCATTCAATTTCAGGTCAAGACTGAAAATGAAAAATTAAATTGAAGACGGCTATTATATCACTTTAAACAGTTAAAGAAGAGTGCAGCTCCTGTCCCTGTGATGAATTTGTGAAAAAGCACATTTTCTGATTTGAGTGTCATTAACATCAGAATGTAGTTTGACTGTATTTGAATAGAAGGTATCCTGTGCGATAGGTGGGAGATATGTTTGACATTAAAGTGAATATAATGTGATTAAATCCTCAGTACAGGAAAGACGACTGAGAAACATATTATATATTTAAAGGAACCTGGAATTTTAGTTGTATAAAGAAAAAAAAAAAACACAAGTTTGACATGCATGTTGCATTGTCAAAACACTGTTTAGCTCAGTGTTTTAGTGTTAACATTCTAATCCATAAGATACTACCCTCTAGTGGCAATCATGCCCTTAGCCACCATCTACTCCAAGCTCATTTTTTATGCTGAGAATCCCGAGCTGAGAATGAATGCAAACAAAGATTAAACAGCAAAGGTCTGGAGAAAATCCAAATGCAAAATGTCTTAATTGTTATTTAATTTATTTTAATGATAAGAATTTAAAAAATGAAACAAAAAAATCAATCCAGTTTTCCAGAGAGCATTGTGGTGCAGTTTGAATATTTTATAGACCACATTATAAACAGAGCATTTCATTTTAAAGCTCTGGATCAATAAGCAGTCAATGTAGCCACATGTGAGGAGCAGAGGTTAAACCATCATAAACCAGTCCATTTCCAATATCATAAATCAAGGAGGTTTCAACAAAACTTAATCCTGACAAATGAGACAAGGCTTCGATAGCGCCTGGCTATAATAAAGGAAGAAATTTCAGCGGACCACTGCAAGTAACCAGTGAGTGGTTAAATAGTGACAGGTCCTCCCCGTGAAGCTGCACAAATCACTTTAGAATGACCTATTGTCTGAAGGAAAGGTGCCTCTGAATTTCTCGGCATTGCAGGGTTAAAGGGCAGGCTTTAAATGGTGGAATCAGTGTATCGACACAATAAGACCTGACAGTTTATTAGATGGTCTTGTGACACATTTAGTCCCCTTGCCCACTGTTTGCCTTGTCTGTTTATCAAACCCCTGGGGAGCAGTACGGGAGGCACCTACCTGCTTATATGGATCCCTAATGCAGCCAAAGAATTGATCCCCTTCACCGGTATGGTGAAATAGAGAGCTTTGGCACGGTGTGTTCCAACAGCCTGGAACACCATTATCATGGTACCCTGAGCTAAAGCTCTCTCCTGTGTCTCACCTTTTGCTCCATGGTGTTGGGGTCCACAAAGGTAGCCAGGTCCAGTGAGATATGACCCACAATGCGACGTTGTAGACACGCCTGGCCCACACTAATGCAAATGGAGTTCAGGATGTCAGGAGGTACAGAGGTCTGAGGAACAGTGGAGCCCAAAGATTCCAGTTGACAGGAACCGTGAAGCTGGTCTCCACAGGACAGCATGGTGACTTCACCCCCAGGCTCCAAGAGCAGATCTACTGTCAGACAGGTGACGCTTTCTGAAGGTGGATAGGCCTCAACAACTCCACCTGGACACAGTGAGAACAGGTGACCAACTATAGCACAGACAGCTAAAAGGTACAAGAGGTACAGCATGTAAAACTGTCCGGTCTGCAGTTCAACAACCAAAAGAGTAACATAATAACTATTTAATTTTTCAGCTCGGATAAGAAACATCTGGGGATACAAACGACTGTTAACATATTCAGAAAGGCTGCATTTGCAGGTGAATTGCATTCAGTGCCTGACAAAAGTATTCTGACCTTGCCTGAGGAAGGTCTTCAGGAAGCTGACCCAGGTGGGATAGCAGGAAGTTTTAACAGGCTGGGCGTAACGTGCAAGCCACTCTGGGATCTCATCTAAATATCTGAGCAGTACAGACTCCTGCATAAAGAAAGTGAAAGTGCATGCATTAGAGATCGACTGAAATTAGTTGGTGACAGATCTGAGGACTTTATGTACGTTTGTTAATTCAAGCACAAGTCAATAACAAGTGCTGGCTACTTTATTTTGTCCCATTACCAAAGCTCTCTAGTTGTCGACTACATTATTGGAAATGCCCTTGTGTTATCCGGATGACTCCAGTGACTGCTTGTTATCCTTGAGACCTTTGGTGGCTGCTTCAATTTCTGTGCGAGTGTCTGATGGGTACTGCAGGAGGGTCTATCAGTGAGTGACAGCCTATTATCAGAAGGCCTCAGGAGTCTAATGGCTTTAACTCACAGCCACAGAGACAGCACCTGCCTTCAATAACAACTCTCTCCACTGGGCAGCTGATGAATGCCTAAGCTAACCCCATCTTTCTGGGGATCAATCAGGGCTCGACTGGGATCAATATCACTCTTGTTTCTGTAACTAGGAAATGCCATAATGGTTTCAGCACTTAATTATGCTGTTAATTTCTCACTTTTGGTTTAAGGCATCTTTGTCAATTCATGAACACTGTTTCCTGCCACGATGTTATAATATATTTAAAGTTAAAATGACTCTACTATGCCCTTTGCTGCCATTTCACATTAGATATATTGCATTATAAAGCAGTAACTGAACATAACTGAGTGCTTTTAATGACTTTACAAGGACTTTAAGTGCTGGGTCTTCCTTCAAATACAGAAGTCAGTATGCACTAATGTCTTTGTGTCACCATGAAAGAGAGATCTGATTCAGTCTTACCCATCAAAATACGTGAAACCTGTCTGAAAGAAGAGAAGAATCTGAATGGAAATGATGTCTTTATTCTCTTCTCGTTCAATCCAGAGCATTACATTGTTTGACTATATGCTGTCTGGCTTCACTGGAGACAGGACTGGAGATTATGCTGTTGATATTCCAGTCATGTAACAGCCATCATCATATTCAAGTACTGTAAGAGGCGAGGTCAAATGCTACACAGTGATTCCCCCTATACAAACCATAAAGCACACAATGGTGCGGCAAAAAGTGTAAGGGAACGGTTGTCATTTTCAACGGAAGAGCAAGCTCACCCCAGGACTTTGCCTATGCAGTTCGCAGAAACAGCAGGACAGGAAGAGAAGAAAGAGAGGTATTTTGCAATAAATTATTTGGACTTAAACTGCGTACAGTCCCCTGTGATAGGATTCAGGCTTTGCTTGGTGTCCACATAAAGCCAGGCAATCTGGTCATAAATAATAAAAAAAAAGATGTTGCCCTGCCTTTTTGATTGCTATTCTCTGTCTCTATTACGTGGTGAAACAACTGTAGTCAATTTCAGGAATAGAAGAATACAGTTGACAGGAAATATATTTGGGATGAATATTCATTTTTCTGCAGTACGTCCCTGCCAGACTTTTAGCTCTTTAGCTTATGAATAATGTTGTACTATTACATGAAAAATAAAGAAACTGAAGTTCAAGCATCATTTTCAAACCTGGTTGAATTTAACAACAGTAAAATGTCCTCCGTCTAAAATGAGCATTCGTTTTCCTCACTGAAATCAAAGAAACCACATGGAAACATTCAATTATGAGTTATAAAGGGAGCAAAAGACAACTTTTGAATATCTTATTTAGTGTTATTTATAGAAAATTCTGTTAAGGTGGAACATATTTTAGAACTCTTTCATGCAATCACAGGCTGCACAATATTTAGACAGAAAACATCTGTATAAAAGTCCCTGCACCCCCTCAGTGGTAGTGATTATCAAATGACCCATTTCGTTGACAAACTTAACCTAAATAAGGTGTTGCTCAAGATCTGTTTGTACACAGCATGACAAAAAGAAATACTCCATCTGTTGACGCTATTAGGTGTAATTTTTACCCTCTTGTGCCTAATGATCCATATGCAAGCTGTGTGAGAGCTTAAGTGTGTGTGGTGCATGTGTGTCTGTGTGAGGCCCCCTTCAGGCGTAGCATGGGTGCAGATCTACATGACTTTAACCTCTCTCTCTGTGTAAATGCTTAAAGATGCCCGGGGGGCTTTCTGCAGGCTGAAACATTATGCTGGAGGCTGTGGGCCTCACAATATTCAAAGAGACGCACTGTCTCCTCGAAGTCTGTGTTGATGCAATCTCTCCTCCCTCTTGTTGTAATACCATTTTAGACTTTTTATGCAGAGCCAGAAGGGATCTGATTGTTATAATTCTGAGAGACTGCATGGCATTCTTGTGAGCCTGGCCTTTTCATGCTGAGCCCTTCAAGACAAGCCATAATTAAAAAAAATGCCCACAGTTTGTGTAGACTAAGGCCAAGAACAATTTCAATAGCCGCCTAATCTTTAGTAGTTAATTATAAAGTGTAGGAGACATTCAGCCGAGTTATAAAACTTGTTTATTATACTAAACTTAGCTATAATAATATTCACTTTAATCGTCACTTATTTCTAATTTTTGGTAAACATTATAGTTGTTGAAAAGTGTTAAATTATGAATCAATACTTATAATGTTTGATTTGATCATTTTTGTTTATCAATATTTAATGAAATTGCTTCCAATTCCATCAACATAGCATTAAGCATCTAACGTTTAAATGATTGATCATAATGTAGGTATATATCCAATCTACGGGTTGTCATTTTCTTTGCCATTAGGTTTAGTCCTTTCAAGCAAAGTGCTCCAATAATTAGTGTTATATCTCAAAATATGCTACTACGTTTAAAAATCCATCCAGAGTTTCTGCTGTGAGGACAAGACAGCAAGGAAATAGACCAGTATAAAATATTCATATGCTTCTATTTAATCAACATCATTGTTCTGAAATCTTTCAACATACAGGGCCTCATTGCAATCTTTAATAAACACATTAGCATCAGAGGGAGGATGTAATGCATTTAAAAGCTAAAGCATTTTAGGGAGAGATGTTGTCATTACAAAAAAAATCACACAATGAAGAGCATGGGATGTGGGCTTTGCTTTGATTAAAAGAGCAAGGTGTAGAATAAAGGCCAGTTAAAGTGTTGTGTCCATATGGCCCACAAGCCCCGAGGCTGTCGGCCTACACTGGGGGCCTCGGCACTCTTCCCTCTCCATGGGACCCCAGCTGGTGAAACAAACCCCATTTACTTTCTGTGCTGCCTCAGCCACCATTATGGACCTTGGCTGTGGCTCAGCCACTCTCTGCCATAATTAACAGCACCAATGCCACAACAATTACAGCCCTGCACCGCACATGCACTGTGAATCAAAGAATGAGCTAATAGGAACAAAACAGAGCGAGCATTAAGAAGCTCGAGATGACTGCTGTTCCTTCAAATGGAATAAAAAGCAAAATCGTTGTGCTTCAAGCCCACAATCATTAGCCAGTAATTAGTTTACACAAAGCTCCCAGTTAAATGGCAAAATACTGTAATTAACACATGACAGAAAATCAAAGGCTACTTTGTAAGCATATGAGAAATAAGAGCCACAGGCTCAGAAGCTGCTCACAGATTGCATTCGCACTAACCGAATGGTTTACCAATGATTAGAAAACGTTTCATTTGTTTTGAATAGGTATGACATTAAATCATGTGGGGGGAATCATGAGGGGGAAGTAAATCCTAGTATTTTATCTAACAATTAAAAAGTTATACTTTTAATGATTAATGCACTATTTGTACTTAAATGTCTCAAGACTCATCTATTAACTGCAAAGCTTAGCGTCAGTGCATCAACATCAGCTGAAAAAACAGGATTAATTAATGTGAACAGTTTCATTTTTCCTTCATCTTATTTTTTTAAGACAAGTTTTATACAATCCAAATGAACTGTGGATTTACATTATGAAATCTATTTAATTTTATAAACAAAATTAGACGTGGGTTCTGGGAAGAAACACTTGATTTACAAGACTTATAATGCTTTGGTCACTCTTTTTTAACACATGGACCATAGCTGATGTGTGAGGACCGATAATAACTGTGTGTTTGAATTGATATTTTATTGATTGATTTAATGTTCAGTGGCTCTTGGGACAGCACTTAAAATACTGTACCACAGGGACCAGCTTTGTGACTGTAACACTAAAACAGCTTACACTAAGCTAGATGATGACATATCTCTGACCCTGCAGCGACCCCTGCTTCTAAACAATCTGTTTCTAAAAATCTGTTTGTTAGGATGCTAACTTTAAATGGCTGATTTCTCATTGGTATGAGTGTAATAATGAAGAAAATCATTTTAAAAAATCATGTTGGTGCACTTTCATAAAGTCCATTGCTTTGGAGGGAACCATAAAGAATAAGACATAGCAGTAAAAATCTTAAATTTAGTATAACATTGCATAAAAGTAAGGGTATAAAAGAAGTGGTACTTCAGTTTATGACAGGAGGGGAATGATGTAATCCTCCGAGTCTCATATTTACCTGAATCCATGCTGTCTTCCATTTCTCAGGATCATAACAACGGTATTTCTGCAGGGCCCACTTATAGCAGCTTAGATGGCATGTATCACAGTAAGCTGTGCCACGGCCACCATGCTCAGAGTCAATCTTGAGGAGCCAGCGCTGCACGTCAATGTTCTGGGTCATGAGCTCAGCCAGTGTTTCATGAAGCTAAAAGAGAAATAAGAAGTATGAATTGAAAATAAACGTATCACATAACCAATTACAAGAAAAGGTTAAAGATTTTTTTTTCTATGTTATCAGGCATTTATAAGTGGATCCTTTGCTGTAATGGAGTAAAGTTTGCATTTCTGTGGTTGATCCCTGACCTGGTTTAATGAGTAGATGTCTCCTTGACCAGGTGGCAAATCAACTTTTGCTCCTTCAAAGATCCTCCTCCCTCCAGACTTGGTGTTGTAGAGCTGTGCAACAGCCGGTTCTGAAGCCAGAATTGGCACTCCTAACTCATCGGCTACTGCCAGGTCATCCACATGAGCCACTCCACCCACAATATAGGCCTGCTTCCCTTGAATAAGATTCCGGATGCGCTTCAGGGTGCGTGGACTGTACTTCAGCAGCGAGGACAGACACATGTTATGGGTCTGTAAGAGAAGAGGAAGACACAGATAACTGTTGGAGCTAAGGGTTTCATGTGTGTCTTCCAAGGGTTGTATCTTGACCTGATTTATCACTGTGTACACACAACAGATCTATTATTGTAGCAGCCAGCAGGGTTTTGACCTCTCCTGTATTCCAGCAGGTTGAATTGATAAAAGCTGCCTGTGGGAGGCCTACCCTATCCTTCACATCTTTAATGTGTGTTAGCAATGAGCTCCTTGGGAATATAACTAATTACTTCACATCTGTATTTATTTGATCCACATGGAATTATCCCTTCTGTCACTGGCAGAATGTGCTGCCAGCCATGGGTAGCAGCGATTCATCTCAGCAACACGTCTGGCACAGTTTAACAACAAAACAGCAGGAAAATCAATAGAAAGAAATGAAGAAGACCATGTCATGTTGCACATTCAATCTGGTGCAAAAGATGTAAAACAACAGTTAAAATGGCTGGATGTAAAAAGGCAATAAACAACACCTTGGTTTTATTGCACTTGGGTAATTTAGACAATTCAGAATTTTTGATAGTGCAGCAGTTAGATGAAATGAGTAAGTTAATTAAACCACTATACAATTTAATTGTTTACCAAACATTATCTAGAGGCATTTAAATGTATATTAATTAAGTATAACTTGATATAGCTCTAGCTTGTTTACTTTGAAATAACAAAGTTGTTTAATTCCAAAAGTAGTAAAAAGGAAGAAAAAGTATTAAACTGGCAAATTGTGACTCTCACAAGACAATAGTGCAGTAAAAATCTCCTCAACAGTATCCTCTAGAGGAGGATATACTAACTACAGATGCATTCTAACAGTGCAATTCGATCCTTTCCTTTACAGAAATCTTTTTCTACTGAAAAAAAAAAATGATACTTTCACATAAACTGTATATGCTTTTGACCCTACCGCGAAATAATCTACAGCCTCAGGGGTAAGGATGACAAAGCGTCTGCTGCAGTATGGATCCTGAGTTGTCCTGGTGTCAGTCCCATCTGAGACATGCTCACACTTCAGCAGGCTGGTGTAATAGTGCAGGATGTCCTCCCCCAGATGCTTCTGACATACGTAGATGATCTCCACATTTTCATCTAAAATAGTACACAGAGACTTCACAAAATACAGCTCTGTAGTTAAGTGGAGCAAATTCATAAACTCATCCTATGGCACATGAGGATATGACAATCACTTACCTCTAGTATCACATAATCTGCAAAGCTGGGTGTCCTGCACAGTGTTGAATCTCTTCAAGTTCTGACGCCGGCTTTGCGAGAATCCTGACAAAACAAGGTCACAAAAACTGCAGAGACTTTCAAACAGTAATCCCCTCCTACTAATTTTATTCCAGATCTCTAACCAGGTACAACTACCCTCTGATGTACATGCTACCAGACTTCAGGGTGTGGCAGTTAAGTCTAATCACACAGTAGTACAATCTGATGATTCATTTAGCTTAATAACTAGCAGGTGCAGTGTCGTGTGCCGGGAGTCCTGTTCCAACATGTCCAGCCACCACTGAGCTATATTCATAGATACCTCCAGGATTTCACTCAATGTCTGTCTGGATTTCTGCCTGAGAGAGAATCCTCAACTGAATCAAGGTAATTAAATGATTGGATTCATGCTAATTAACAACAATGGGGTTCAACTTTCTAATTATCCTTGCTCACACAGCACTCTCTGTAGCCACCCCAAGTGCAAATAAAGCATTCCATCTGCTAGTAATTAGGCTTAATAATTTTAGACAACCGCTCAATGATTTACAATGCACATGCCTGATTACAGTCTAAATGTGAGTGCCATGGTGAAATTAGAACAAGAACAGATCTTAGCTTCCACTCCATGTCAAGTTCAAAAGCACAGCAGCTTTTCCCCCCTTTTGTGCTTTTTGCACACCAATAAAATAAGACCTTTGTGTCTCTTGCAAATATTCTACATAATGGTTTTTCATTTGCTTAATCTGCAAATTAAATGGCGATTGAGACTAAATTGTTCAGTTCCCTGGCAGGGGGACTGTCATCATCCTGTGAGTGCTTTCCTGCAGAGAGTCATTTGAACGAGACGGAGTGCCTCCACCAGACTATGGGCAGAGTGGCGAGACAGGGGATGGCTGCTGCTAGATCAGATGTGTGTGTGTGTGTGTGAGAGTGAGTGTGTGTGTGTGTTTGTGCCTGTGTATGTATGTGTGTGTGTGTGCGTGTGTAGCAGGCATAGAAAGCTACCTAATGAAGGGATGTGGATAATGGTCCTCTTGGAGGACTGGATGTGTTTCCAGTTGGCTGCCAGATGCTGGGGATGGAGAAAAGAAGTGATCAGAGAGGGGACTCTCGAGCATGTACGGACACACACACACAAACACACACACACACACACACACACAAATCATCACATTGCTGCATAGCTAAAACACATCAAGCCAATATCTCTCTGGGCGAACAGCAGCAAACCAAGCATAAAACGCCACCTTAATTAAATTAAGCGTTTACTTTAGAAACATCTTCTTGCAATTAATTCAATCAGCAATGTACATGATGCTACCTCCAGTGAAAGATTAGCAGGCTTAATTAACAGGGTATGAATGTTTAAAGAGTGAGAACATACATTTAGTGCATGTATACACACTCAGAGGTGTTAAAATTAAATGATCTTGTAGCTTCTAATTAATATTGTGTCAGCACTCTAAATGATGTTCAAGCCATATGACAGCAGAGACGTGACATCAGCGTTGAATAGGGGGAAATTCACATCATGCATCAAGAACATGTCAAACAACTTTAAGTACAGCTTAAACCAGATCTTCCATTCATAATCTGTTTTCATTTTAAAACCTTTTATCATTTCAACACATATCTTTAATGCAACCCATTGTATCTTAAATATTTTTCTGTATTCACTTACTGTAAATTGTACTGAACTTGATCACAAAGATTTTCCTCATAATTACAGTCTGTTTGTTTCACTTAATGTAGGACAGCAGTTTAATATGTATAATTCTTTTTTTTTTCAGCCAGTATCAACTGTTTATTCATCTCAGTCTTTCTTTCTTGATATCTTTAACTAATCTTGATTTTCTCTGTTTAGCTCATCAGTCAAACATGCCCCCTCTGTTGCTCTGTGTTTTATCAAATCAAATGTACAACATCAGCATGTTTAAGTCAGTAATCCTGCATTGTAACTCACATGGCATATGACATATTTGTCTTCGCTTATACAGTGCCCAGCATAAGTCAGTACACCCCATAATAAAAGTAAAGTTTTGAAAAAGCTGAGTTTGACATAACATTTTATTTACAATAAGATGAAAATAAGGCTGATATGGTAAATGTAGCTTTGCTCCCAGAACTTTGATTGGGGTGTACTCATTTTTATATCCTGATTTTAAATTGAAAAAAAAAATAGTGTTTTGTATGCAACTTAAAAAATCTTGTTTGCAATCAATGGCTTCATTTGGAGGAGTATTTTGTTGTACAGTCTGACATAGAAAATGTTGATTTTGAAAGAAAGCTAAAGGTTTTCTGACAACTCTGAAGGGGTGTACTCATTTATGCTGAGCACTGTAGAATGTACTCAGTTTTTGTAGAAACCATGACAGTCAAGGTATTTTGAAAAAACATTGTCCAAACAATGATTTTGAAAAAAATAATAATTTTTCAATGGCGACTGAAAAACTTTTCCTGAACAATTTAACTAATCAAAGAAACAGTCATCTCTCCATAGATTCAAATTATATGCTAATAATTTTATTGTGATTGGCCAAAAAAGAAAATTTAATCAAGCAATTTACCAAATTTGGTGTCAATCTGTCACAAATTAAAAGTAAAAGACCAGAAAAAGTCCAAGTCTGGTGTTGCTAAATTTATAGAGAGAAAGGAAGGAAGGACGAGAAAACACATGGTTGCAAAGAAAAAAAACCTCTACCTGCGCTCTGCTGCGGTAATTCTCCAGCTGTCTGAAGCGCCGGGCCTGCAGGGCCTTCCTGACATTACGCATCTGATTGTGCATCCACCATGACTTGGTGATGGTCTCTGCCGCCCACTTGCGTCGACAGTGGTGCAGGTAGGATGTGCGGGCTAAGTAGCGCCTCCAGCAGGACTGGATGTGGGTGGCAGCTGCCTCAGTACCCCCCTCCCCCTTGTAGCGCTGACCTGGGCGCATGACCAGGCCCAGAACCTCCTCCCAGTTTTCAAGCACCAAGAGGAGCCTGGTCCCTGGAGGAGTCTTCCTCCAACTATTATCCCAATCGTGGGCAAACTCTACCAAACGTTCCCCGCTCACTTTGGCCAGAGGCACAGCATAGTCCCTGAGCAGCTTTTCCAGGGCCTCGAGAGCATCTAACACACTGCTCCAACATAAGCTGAAGCTCTGCTTAAAGAGACAGAAATCTGTGGCCACTGGGTTTATCTGTCCTTCCATGATGGTAAAGGGGTATTTGCTGATGAATGCAGGAACTTGCACAGGCAGATTCTGTAGAACACAGAGAAACCAGTGGAAGGTTACCAAAATAGCCTAGAAATGACAAGTTTGTTGACTTTCACCTTTGCCATCTAAATTTGACTTTAAGTACATGTAAAACTAACAGTGGTCTTACTTGAGGGCTTTCGGGGATGAGATGGTTGGTGCCTTGGATCATACCAGTACAGTCCAGGCTCTTAGAAGTTGTGGAGGGCGGCGGTGTCTTGGGGGTCCTCAGGGGTGTACATTTTCTGCCTGTTCTTTTAGAGGCCAATCCAGACCCTGCTTCCCATTTCAGCTGCTTGTCATGCCTGGGTTTTGGACTTAAAAGAGCTGAAATCACAAACACACAGGTCAACATTTTTTGTGTTGCTCAGTGCTATCCAGTCAACGTTATCACATCTTGTGAAAGCTATTCCGACTGCAAAATTCATAAAAATGTCTTTTTTAATTGAGAGAAGGCTTTGTTGAACAAAAGGTAAAATGAATAATTGTCAGTGTTGTTAAAAATTTTCCTCATGAGTGCCAAGTCTTCAGGACCTCATGGACCATTCAACAATATCATATTTTTCCTTTGAAGGTACAGTAGGATATTAGCCCTGGTTTTGGTATGAAGAATCTGGTTTAAAACGTCTTATGTAAGGTCTCTGCATACGCACTGACCTATTTTATTAGAGGATGAATCATCTCTTAGGTGAAGAGAAGCAGCCTTCTGCTGGATCGAAAAACAAAGCAGACCTGTATCTGGACCTGATGAAAATATACAGCACATAGATTAAATAAGACAGAAAAAAACACTATGCTTAACATTGTACATGAGACAAGATTCAAAAGTACTTGATTAAAATAAGAGAAGATAATTTCTGAGAATGATCAAAATTGAAATAATTCAAAAAAACACTGTAAGTACATGATTTTGTTTAGTTGTCCTCAGTAGTAGAAAAAAGCGTCAGGCTGATGCACAAATGTAAAGTGTTTGCCTGACACAGATACAGACACAAATAACTCTATTAAAAGGTCTGTTTACCTCTCTTTGTGTCTTCCTCCAAAATCTTCAGGTTTTTCTGGCCTTTTGGTTCAATTTCTTGATGACTCACTGCAGGTCCGATGATTTTTCTCTGAGGTTTTGACTTTACAGAACAAGTTAGTCAGATCGATGAAATAACATTTTAAAAATGAATGAGATTCTGGTTTGGTATTTGCTGGGCTAGCCTTCAGAGGTTGTGGTCAGCATATTTTTTTTGTGAGGATTGGAGTTGACCAGCCATCAATCAAAATCAGACCATGCTTGGTGATAAAAGAAAAAATACCTTCATTGCAGAATAAGTACTGAAAAATAATGAGAGATGCCTTCTCTGTTTGCAGTAAAAATATTTTCTGTATTCACAAAGATGTAAGGAGGTCTTGAAAGAAGCACAAGCAGAGTATTGCAGTGACCTTGACCCAGACTCTTGCAACATATCACTCAGAAGGTAGCAAAGATTAAGATTTAACTACAACAGCTACAATTAATCGCAGTTGGGGTTAAATTAAGATCTTTTTATAATATGTTCAGCTATACAACTTTGTGTTCAGTGCATTCTGCTGTTTGTTTAAAATGACAAAATCAAAAACATTTAATAGCTGTCCTTGACTTTAATCCGTCATTATTCAAAACACAATGTTTTCACTGCTGATTCTCCAGACTGTGATCTAATGTCCTTCCCTCTGTTCTCCTCAGACCACTGAGCTCTCTGACAGACCACAGGTAAAAGACAGGTGCTGGGAGAGTCTTCCCTCAAAGGCACACATCTGTTTCAGATGGGGTTGGGAAAAGGTGGCACCTTTTCTAAAATTGCTAAAATGCAAAAGCTCATTCCCCGGCATGAGTATGGAGAGGAGAAAAGCTGGCCTGAGTTTCAGGAGACGGCAGCAGGCAGAGAGCCAGTGATTAGCAGTTGGGGAAGTTACGGCTGTCTTATTGGCATGCTGGACCAGGTACCCACTCCTGTCCTGAGACAGCTGTAAACCACTAGCCCATAGCACAGCAATCAGGCGCCTGTTTCTTTAGAAGAATGCTGATGTGCTGCAATCTGCTGTTTTCCGCTTTCTGCAGCCAGCGCTTCCATCTCTCCTCTATCAGGGTGACAGTCCTGGCTACTGTTTCTCACGTCAGGTATAGATTCCCAAAAATATACTGGAAAAGAGTGTGTGTAAAGTATATTTTAAACTAATGTCGACCTTTGTAAAGATTAATTTGTTTGCTCTGAAAAGTGCCTGCTGTCATCACCAAGCCTGGTGACCTTTATGTCACGGTTTCTACAAGATTGGAACTTGGAGCATCTATTAATGTAGTGCTATACCATCACTCTTCACTCCAGCATAAAGTGTCTCTGGTGGGATTTAAGACAGTGGAAAACATTTATGTCAAATTTATCTTAATTGCAGAAGAGACTCCTGAAATGCTTCCTAATCGAATCTTTCTTGAGGCATGCACTGTATGTTACCATTAATATCAACAAAGGCACAGGGATCAATTTCTCACTGCACAAAGCAAGCAACTGCAGGACACGATAGTGCTGTTAGTATAGCAGATTATAATCTTTGCCAACAGTAAGGCTTTAGGCCAGATATATTCACCAAGGTGAAAGTTCAGTTCAGATCCATTAACAGCCTAATAACTGCAGGGTAACCCGCTAGACATGGTGCATTTTATTTTCATAATGTTTCCTTCAATCTCACTGGATTCCACACCACTTCAATAGATGGTACTGAGTGATTTACAATATATTCAAGCATTTACATATATCAATCCAAACTTTTACATTTTACATTACTTACTGTATTTGAGCTCCTCTTGTGGATATCAGGGAGTGATGTCTGAAATTTCTGGTGTAAAAGGGCTCTTTTGTTCAGGTGAGTGGGATTAAGCAGCAGGCGCGTGGCTAATGCTTGGTTGTGCTGAAAAGAGAAGAGTGTAATGTAATTTTAGCAAGGTGTCATGTGAAAATAGTGTCGGCAACACTTGTATGCATATTTAAATATATGCAACAGTCTGTTAAGTCTGATATATGTATTTTTTTTTTTCATTTGTCTCATTTGAAGTTTGATGATTCCATTTTTGTTTGCCTTTCCTGTTAAAACATTTTGCACATGCAGTGAAATTTCTGAATTTAAGGTATTTACCTTCAGTTGGAAAAAAAAATAAGTAAAACTCTTTCATAAATGAAGGACCTACCCTTTCCCCGGCTGAAGGACCTGGAAGATTTTTTCTTTGTGGATGCATATCTGCGATGCCTGGAACAAGTTTCTCCGGGGCAGGTTTCCTGGATTTCGAGGCCGTGATACATCACTATAATTCATGCAGTTTTATTCCATTCATATTTTCAGTGTTCTAGCAGTGAGATATATGTCCCCATCTTAGAAAATCATATAGTAATGTAAGACATATAATTCTTTCTTTACCATTTGGGAATGTGCGTTGTCTTTTGAGGAAAGTCTTCAATGGCTGGAAGAACCAGTGGCTGTTTGGTCACTATATTCAGATAATCCTCGACATGTTTCTGTTAAAAAATAAAAATAAAAAAAAAAACAGAAGAAGAGAATAAAAAAAATAAAAAAAACATAAAAATTGTCTATTATTCACCTGTGTTTGCCTATCTAGTCTATCAATGGTGTGTGTGTGTGTGTGTGTGTGTGTGTGTGTGTGTGTGTGTGTGTGTGTGTGTGTGTGTGTGTGTGTGTGTGTGTGTGTGTGTGCATGAGACATCCTTACCCTGATTCTAGTCTCAGTTTTCTGAATGGCAGAGTCCAAGGCTTGAACATCCAGAGTTTCTTCTCTTTCACTGTTGGTGAATTTCACAAGGCTACATCTGAGTTTCCGCAAATCATCTTGAACCTGTAAATTAACAAAGTGGATTATCTCATGGCAAACCCTAAAGAAAAAAAAAACCATTAACCTCCTTCTCATATTTTGCAGCAAAAGTCTGTGTATGCTTGCACAACTGAAAAACCAATTGTCAAGACGCTCAAACAACATTGAGGTGAGCTTTTAACTGTCCTTAGTCTGTTTCTGCCTTTGTTTGCTTCTTCTGTGAAAGCACATCTGTTTTTAAAGGTGATAATCAATAAAGTTTTTAAAAAAACTTTATGAACTTTTAACCGGGACTTGATTTTTTTTTTCATCAGTTCTCTGCAAATTCGTAAAATTTGACAATTATACATTAAGTTTATTTCTGCACAGTAAGCCATATTAAGCTTACAATAACTTTAATCGAACCACTCGGAACCAAACAGTCGCAGTAAAAGCCGAGAAAAGTTGTTAACGTCAATTAATAGCAAGTCGGGTTAACTTCGGTTTACCTGGAATAAAACTGCGCCCAATTTGTCTCCATATTTATGCGCTTCTGTCATTATTTTCTACTGGGTGTAATTAAGACATGTCATGACTTTTACCGGCTAACTTTCCCAACCTGTCCCTTAACGTTTTAAAGCCGTGCTTGTAACCATAACAACAAAATGACGCATAGAAACCTCACAAAGAAGCGAACATAAGCAGTAATTTTGCCCCGAATTTATCCTGACAGGCATCCACCAGGTCACTTGGGATGATTAAGCTGAAATAAAAACTAGGGAGTGAATTTAAGATTTAAAAATGAGAATTGCAAAATGAGCTGCGTCTAAATCTCGCTTTCGTCATTAACGCGGACGTATATTATGAAACTGGTTGTGGAGTTTCTCCGGGAGGTCATTTGCCCTCAAGGCAAATTTAGGGCGAAACATTAATCCCACACAGGAAGTGACCTATAACAATACAAATCTGACTATGCCTTTAATATTAAAATAGAAATGTAAAAAACAAACAAACACACAAAACGTGTCTCGTAGCAATACAAACGACTACGTATCAGATTAATTTATCAGGTAAAACAAATGCGATAGCTCCCTTTCTCCGTAGTAATTTTGCACCGGAAAAGACGTCACGGCGGCTCAAAGTTGAAAGGTTGGCGTCTCGTTAAGCTAGCAGGTAGACAAGCTAACCCCAAACAACATCAAGATGTCAACTACCGACGAAAACACAGAGATGACAATTCCGTGTGTGCTCATCACTAGCTGTGACAGTGGTTTTAAAGAAGAAGAGCTGATAAAACGTGAGTTTTTGCCGGACTTTAGTGCATGAATTAGCTAAAGGCTAAGTAGAGCAAGATGCATACAGTTTAATGTGTATACGCACCGTCGTGTGATATTCCTAAAGAGTGCTTTTTTTCTCAGAGATCCTCAGTACGACGAATTTACCGGAGCCGATCAAGAAAGAGGAATTGGTGGTGTGGTATCCATGGACCATCAACAATAAATATTACACAGCAGACGTCAGGTTATGTATTGTACCAAGCACTTTTCAGATGTCTTCAGAGATCGCTCAGTCCATGCAGGCTTTCATCGCATATTTCGACAGCACAGCGGTGAGTGACTGGATATCTGAAAGGATCCAAAGTTTACACTGTATCAAAACTTTCGTTTTAATCATTGTCCTGTATATGCTTCCTGTTTGCAGAAAGATGGTCTGGAAAAGCTTCATCCTTGGATATCAGTGGTGGAAGATCTCGCCCCAGAGGTTCTGATCCTGGTGTGTGACAGAGTCAGTGAAAATGGTTAGTTCTGCAGCCCTGCATGAAAGGAAGAAGAGCATTAGCAGTCTACATTTATGCAGGTCACCAAATAGCACCTGAAGTATATACAGTATATTCAGTTGATACCTTGCACTTTACTACCTTGCACTTCTGGTTAGATGCTAAACTGCATTTCGTTGTTCCTGTACTTGTACTGTGTCCAATGACGATAAAGTTGAATCTAATCTAAAGTGTATTTTGTTCTATTCTAGGGGTCACCAGACATGAAGCACAACAGTGGTGTTTGTCTCATGCTTTTGAGCTGGTGGAGCTCAACCCACAGGAACTGCCAGATGAAGATGGTAAGTTTGTAGAGAGCAAATACTATGTAAAATGATAATACACAAGTTTATCATCAAAAATAATTATAGTAATAACTTTAGTTCATAGCACTTTTAAAATCAGAAGTTAACAAAGTGCTTTGACAAACAGTTGTAAAGCACAGAACATCAGCACATGGAAATAAAAACAAATAAAAACAAAAGATCAGTTAAAAACAAGGCCTCCAAAGTGAAGGCCAATTTCATTTGTCATAAGGAACCCAGACAATACAAGAACCCTACAACATGAAATGAAACCATGAGGACCAAAATAAAAAGATAAAATAGGTAAGAGAAAGAAATGTAATAAAAAAGGGGAGTAGAAAGCAGGAAACAGGATATTAAATATGAAAAGATGATATTAATAATGATAATGAAAACATAAAGTAATAATAGTTATAGTAACGATGAAACAGAATAACAAAAATGAGCAGGAAAAAACAATAACATCAATAAAAGGCCTAAAGATTATCAGTAAACAAAGTTTAAAAAGACAGGAAGTCGAAAGAAGAGAGGTAAAATAGATTAAAGAGAAAAGACGGCATTACATAAAAGCAAGTCTGTAAAAGTATGTTTTTAAATTTGACTTTTGTAATTATTGTAATTGTTCATGTTATAATTTTTGCTTTCCTGCACATTGTCATGTTGCTTTTTTCAGATGACTTTCCAGAATCCACTGGAGTTAAAAGAATCGTGCAGGCTCTCAATGCCAATGTGTGGTCAAGTGTGGAGATGAAGGATGGTGAGATGACATCACCAATACATTTTGGCCATTCCCTGTTCTTATTACCTGTATCTTTGACTATTTGGTAGAGTGTGACACTTCATATCTCTGTCTGATAGGACACAACCAGGGCTTTGGTCTAATGAGTAGTCTGGTGGCCTCAAGACACAACAACCCAAGAAGCTGTCAAGATCCACCAGTCAGTGGCATTTTTACGATAATTTTCATAAATGTTTTTGAAGGAGAATTTTATCCTAAGGGCATTTTTAACATGTCGGCTTTCATGCTAACCTTGGCTCCTTTTTCAACAACAGTCTTCCAGCCTACCTGTAGAGGGCTCACGTGTTACTGAGGAGACGAACCATACAGAAAGTTGTACAAATACAGTTCCACAGGAAGACACTGTGGTTGGTAAGTGGACAGCTTCAGATGCAATTTATTCTTGTTTATGTTAGATGTTATTTTTTTCTCAAAACGTGTACTTTTTCTGAACATATTTCCTCAGCGTCTTCTTGATGATATGAGGAGCTGTTGCATTGTATCTTGCATCATCAATATTCTTTTGCTCTGATTTTATAGATGCTATGACTGATTTAGACATTCAGGAACTTGCTAATCTCACAGCTGGTGATGCAGATGTGGATAACTTTGAACGCCTCTTTACAAAATTAAAAGAAATGAAAGGTAAGCATAGGAACGACAAACAAATGCAAACTTAGAGGACCAAAGCTACGCTATATTCATGGTTGTACCTTGTTCATTAATTGCTTGTTAAACTTCTTTTTTTTTTACTTTACTGCAGACAAAGCTTCCTCATTACCTCATGAGCAGAGAAAAGTTCATGCAGAGAAGGTAAGCAGCTGTTTTCCACCAGTTACAGGATTCACCTGAAAATGCTTTGCAAGCTAAATATTGTGACAACATTACTCCAGAAATGCCCAAATCTAAACTCTGGTACTGAGTACTTACATGACACTCGCTTTCCAGGTTGCAAAAGCGTTTTGGATGGCCATTGGTGGTGATGACGATGAGATAGACGGGTTATCATCAGGAGAAGAAAGCTGAAAGTAGCTCCCTGTGACTTGGTCTCTTTCCTCCTGATCTTCCTCCTTTCCTGGGGCTCCCACAAGAACCAATCCCTTTTGACTTGCTTCTAACACTTGGAAAGTGGAAATGCTTACAGTTAGCACTGTAGGCATAGTCATGCTTAGAAACTTATGATTCTTTGAATGAAGTGATTGCAATATTGGTGTATAATGAGAAGCAGTTGAATATGTTGATGTGGGGAGAAGAGAGCCAGAGGGTGGCCCTGACCCTCAGCCTTCTCCCATGGGTCCCTGTAAAACTCTAAGTAAACCTCAACACTTGAAAGTGCAGCATGAGGTTCAACAAAATCAAATCATATGGACTTAAAATTATGTGTATGTCCTTTAGGTACAGTTGTCACATATATTTACAAGTGACATAATGTGCCTTATCCCCAGAAGAGTTGTAACATGTTTAATGATCATTCTATTGAAATAAATATAAGAAGTTGTGATTTACATTTTCTATTCTGTATTGTTTAAAACAAAACAGCTGTGCTGCACACACAAAGTTCAAATCTGTCTGAAAAACTGCTGCTGACTTGGAACAAAAGCATGCTGCCTTGATGTACCTCTGCCATAAATGTTTGGTTTAGCTGCAGCCTGTGTTGGACACTGCACTAAAGGAGGTCAGAAATAGTTTGTATCTTGTTATAATTGTGGAAGACATATCAACTGACACCATGCAACAAAACCAGTCTATGACCTTCAAGAGTACCCAAAGGATGAACTGTCACTTCTGATAGTTTCCCACTTGCATCTATATCCAGAGATGTCTATAGTTCAAAAACACTTGGACAAACTCTTTTTATTCAGTAGCAATTTATTCATCTTTCCCAGATAACAAAACAATAATCATTTGAGAACAAATATTAAGCTACATGAAAAACCATGTAAATAAGACTTGGAACAGAAAACCAAAAACTAAAGATATCAAGGAACACAAATACTACTACGGGTTTACTAGCTACCTAACACTAATACACAGTATTTCAGTTTAGTACCATGTATCTATTATAAGGTAGATAACATGGTGATTCAGTCTTTTGTACTGTGAGTAAGTGCAAGCTAAACATGGTGGCTTCATAGACAATGACCAAGGACACCAAGCATAGAACACGTGCTTTGTAGCAATGTACGTGTAGCATACAGTATTTACTGGACAAGCAAACTACCGCTACAACTAAACTTTACACTCATCAACATAGTAGATCCGAAGTGCATCATTTACCCACAAGGAGCATAGTGTACTACTGGTTAACAAATGGTAATATGTGGAAAACCTGCATTTGTTCACGCTCAACATACCACCGATGGATGAACAACACTGTAGAAAGAGTGTTTATCTTCAACTATTCCACTTCGATCAGTAATACTTTGCTATATTCTTTGTCCATAGTATGAAATAAGAGTAAAAGCTGGTACAATAATCCTGTGTCACACACAGAAACAGTTGACCCACGATTTAATAACCAGCTTTTGAATTGGCTAAGTTTTGGGTCATTAAAGCATAAGTTATTTTTGTTTTTTTGTTGTTTTTTTTGTGGGTATAGTCATGCCAGAGGTCAGTCAGGTCCAATGTTTCAAGCAAAATGACTACAAGAAATCACAAGCTATAAATATTTATGTACAATCAAATTGAGGCAATAAAAAATATATATTCCCATGCAGGACAGTATGCAAAAATAACTTATAAAATGTCTTTCACTGAGCAAAATAGTTTTCATACAAGGGTTCTTTTCAAGAAACAATGATTCTAATGTCTAGATTTGTTTAAAATAGATAAAATACCAATCATAAGATCAGGGAAATAATCAAGACTTTCATTGATAAATCAATATGGGTTATATTAAGTACCTTGTACTTAAAATATCACATATATTCTATATAATCACTTCTCAGAATGAAATGTTAATTTATGTTTCAATTGATAAATAAGTTTGCTTATTCATTGATCACAAAGTGGTACTGAGACACTGATACACCAGTAATGATAACCTTGTCATCATTAGAGCTAATTCATGGAATCAAACATTTTGAAATGTTTTGATAATGTAGCTAAAACTAACATTACTTCAACTTTAAAATTTCTTTTTCTTTTTACAGAAGGAAAAATAATTCCACACTGAACATAATAGGCATGTCTGAATGATTCATGGATTCCCGTTTGAAAACTTTTGCCAACACCCTGTGGCTGCCTTGTGAATACACAAAACAATGTACAAGTCCTAAAATGAACATCAAATGGAGACACCACATGGAACTAAGGAAAGTGCTACAGATGAGAGGTGAAACATTTGACAGCAGGGGACGAGGGTCATATCCATTTTTATGACTGGTGTCTCTTCCCTTTTCATTATTGAGAGACGCCTGAGTTCTCCTACGTGATTTGTGAATAAGTGTCAGTGTGAATGTGCGCTCCTTTTAAGGCATGAGCATCTTCTATGACACACTGGAGCAGTGGATGCTGGGAGAACCCATCTGTGTGAGGACCTTGTCAAGCCACTGCAAAGGGCCGTTGAGGTGCAGCTCTATCCAGCAGGGGGTGCTAGTCACCGTCTGACGTCTGGAAAAAGCGAAGAACAGGATTAATACAGTCTAACAAAGTTCACACTAAATAATATTGACATGCATTTAAAATCTATGCTAGGACTTTCATCATGAATGTTACTTTCTTGTAGTACAATAATAATAATACAGCCTAGTCAGCATTTCTCCTCCTAGTTGAACGATCACCAGCACTGTGACCAACTCCTCACTCTATTTCAGGAGTCATTCAAGTTTCTGTCAGGGATGTTTTTCTCAGAGGTGTTCGGTGCCAAAAATATAACACGCAGCACTCATAGTCCCCTGGGAATCCCCCTTGCCAAGGGTGTCTGAAATGTGCTGACCTCCCACTCCATGTCCCTCCACCACTGCATGCCTACTGCATTCTTCATCTGTTACTCAACCCTCTCCGCCGACTCACTGCTGCACCCGCCCCGGTTATCCTCTTTTGCATTTCAAGGTCTGCTACTGTGTGTGTACAACACTCCCTCAAGTTTTCATCGCCAAAATAGTCGTTCAGGAGTTTCTCTTTGCTGATCCTCCTTCGTCTTCCAATCAATGCAAATATCTTATTATCACCAAATTTAAGTCTATAACTATGTTAACACATACTTGGTCAACTACATCTTTAAATAAATTAATTCAAATATTTTATTTCCGGTTTTGAAAAATATTTGTTTACCTGTACTCGGCTCCCCAACCCTTGACAAAACTCATACGTATGGTGCACATCCTGGTGAGCTGGTAAACAGCCTCAAAACCCTGGTTCACTGACTGGGCGAGCAGGGCAGCAAACTCCTGGTTATTAAAGATCTTCAGGTTGCAGCCTGCAAATTAAAATCCAGAAAAGATTTTTGTGAGGCTCACAAGCACAGAAAACAAACATACAAGAAAACGTGTCAGTGGGTGAAGAGAACTGCGGTATTTTTTCCTGATGGGTCCATGTATTTGTGTGCATCCACTCATGCTAACCTGGGGGTATTTTGCAGACAGTAGCAGGATGCCAGCCATAGCGTTGGTTGCAGTTGGGACTCTGGACAAAGATGGCGCTGTCACTGAGACACTCCGCAAACACCTCACCCCCAATGTAGTACAACCGCACACCTCGTCCTAAAGAGAAAAACAGAACATTGTTGCTCTGTGTACATTTGAAGATATTTGTGATAATGTAAAAGAGAATTATTTTAAGAAAGTACCTATGTGTCTTCGTGTAAGCTCTACCGCCGAGTTGCGGTTGACGTTGGACAGCAAGCCAAGACAGAACCGTTCCGAATTTGAAGGATCTGTGAATCCGTCTACTGTTAAGGAGGGCTGTGAGGCGTGGAAGGTCTCTCCTACACGCTGGTTTAGCTCATAGTAAGAGATGGAGCACCAAAAGGCAGACTCACAGTACGTAACAGGTTGTAAGTCTGGTAGGAGTGAAACGAAGAGACATTAATGCACATACGGTGTGCGCTCCAGTTGGGTCCATGAAAAAAGATTCAAGAAGGTCATGAGAAAAGGTAAACCGCTTTGTGGTCATGAAACTTTTTATTTGCAAAGATGCGCACGGCTGATAGCACTTCTCTTTCATGTCTTTTCAAAAGATCGTTCCCACGGCTTTCACGGTCTGAGCAAAGCCATGACGCAGATATTTATTTTATCAACCATAACCCCTGGTGGCTCTCTGCATAGATAGAATAACCTGGTAACTGGATAGTATTATTATTGCATTACACAGAGCCTTCCGCAGACATATACAAAGATTCAATTCATACCATACTTACTCAGCTACAACCCTGAGGCAGAGCCCCCCAGTCAAGTCCACTGTATGATGCTCATCTGTCTCACACACTCATACATGTTCAGTCCTACAAAGATATCCCAACCTGACTGTCTATGAAGCCCTACACTCATATGAACAGCACTGTTACCACAGGGTCAATAGGTTTGTTCTACTCACTACAGTACAGTTAGGTGGAAAAGGGTCCATTGTACATGATAGTCCAGGTTAAAGGAACTCTACAGATGGTCCAAATTGTGTGCTCTTACTGCCACATCTACAGGGTACCAACAACTGGACTTTTAACCTAACCTGATAAACAATTAAATAAGTTTACTTTCTATTAAACGATTTGAATGTGTAGATCAATCTACTATAATTTTTTACAGTCAAGCCATGACTGTCAGAGTCTATGACTGCATGCACATTGTACAAGCTGTGTGTTACCTTTCCATATATGTCACTGCTAGTTTGGTACACCCATTAAAAATGACATTTCCTGTCTATGAAACTGAACTCTTTTATTTTTCTTACCAAGGTTGCTGTTCGCAGGTGACACAGGGTTCGGCGACAGGCTGGGTGAACCTGAAATAGAGCAGAGATTAAGGACTGGCTTAAGCTTCAGAATTTAACAGCATGATCTTAAAAAGTTTTTTTTTTTTTTTTACATTACTCACTTGTGTCCATGCTTTGGTTGTGCTGTTGGTCATTTGTCTCACCATCTTCACTGAGATACCCTGGCGGAGGAGTTTCTGAAGCGTATGCATTTAGACCAAAAAGTGTCAATACATTTTTTAATTAAAATTAACGTCAGACTTAGACATTAGTGGCAATAATAATTACATTATTAGTGAAAATTTGCTTTCAACTTCAAGCACTCAAAGGACAATTAATGATGAAAATAACAGCTTTACAGACTTTCAACACGCTGAAGTAATGGCATTTTTTCCTCACCCGGAATATAGTTACTCTGGGGCTCAATGCCAGCGGGAAAATTGGTGTTTTCTGGGATGGATGGGCTATAGTCATCCAAAGGTGGAAACTCTGCAGGTATGTCTGTATGTCTTGGTACCAGGACAGGAGGCAAAACTGGAGACATGCACATGCCCTCATTAGGGTATGATTTTAAACTGTCGACCTTATGGAAAAAGCATGATCTTAAATACAGTAATTTGAATCATGTGGTAATTTACTGCACTCACTTGGTGTCTCCACCCTTTGGTAGTGGTATGGGTTGACGCAAACCTCATCCTTCTTTGTGTGGAAGGCAAATTCACAGTGGTCCACAGCCCTCAACTCATGGTGGGACTGCAGGTCTGGCCAGCGCCATAAGCGACAGTAGATCACATGAGGAAGACCTTTTCTGTGGGAGACCTGGAGACGCCCATCTAAAGACCTGAGAGAGACAAACATGTAAAGGTTACTGAGGAATATGCAGAATAAACCTAAAAAATAAGTGTAAGGTTCTGATTTACACTCTGGTTTCAGCTGAAGTTTAAGTTTTTGGCAAAATGTTTAATGTTCTATAGGAAGTAAGGAAGTTTTATAGGGATTTACTTTGAACATTTCACTGATGTTAGACCAGTTAAAAAACATTTCACCTCGTGGATCTCGTTTAATTTTTTGTTTTTCGTTCAATAGTCAAAAAACTGTAAGTTTGAGATACCTTTGGCCAAAAATTCCCTCAGCCCAGTTTACATGACTGCACATATAAGACCACTCTTAAATGCAGGCATCAGTACATTCATTCTTATTACCACTTATTCAGCATAAAGCTGATTTCAATCAGTGCAGGGACAATAAAAGATCATGGATATTCCTCAGTACAAAGAGTCTAATGTACCTAGTGTAGTGGTGCAGTTTTGAAGCTGAGCTCAAGAATAGTTAAGCTCAGTTAAGCTGTAAGACCCAAAACATACAGCCCCCAGTTAAGTGCGTCACAAATGAATAGGGGTTAGGAACAAAATGAAACTTCAGTGGGTGTTTGAAGGGCATCTACCCCGCAACTTCTAGAGTCAAACCCCAATGTTTTCATTCCAGATAATCATTAACATGTCGGGTAGGGTGATGAGAATATAACAAACATGGAAAACTCAAGACAACATCAAAATTAAAGTGATCTGTTACCCTCGCCTGAGAGGAAAATTCAAATTAGTATTCCACTCAAGGATAGGCGTAAAAATTTAACAATAAACATGGGACTAAAACACTCTTTTAGGAGAATCTGATAGCTTTGAAGTACAAACCATAACACACACTATGTTTCTAATGACCCCAGTTCAATACAGCTTCAAACCCTCATTTCATACTATTTCTATAATACTGTCCCAGGATTTCATGTCACTTCTCAACTCAGTGTTTTGGTAAAAGATGCGAACATCAGTCCATAAGAAACAACCATTGGCCATTATAGTACAAATCAAATTAGGCCTCCTAAGAGTGACAGAATCTTTGCATTCCTCTCGTTTAGCAGGACAGCTGCTATTCTGTAAACCTAGAGTCTCTAAATCCTCTAACTTTGAACCACATTTTTAAACAGTGGCCCACACCCCTCTATGAGCCTGCAGCATATTCTCAAGACCCAGAGAGAAGTTTATAATGTAGGTCAACACCCATGGTCACACCATGATGGGGAATCCTAGTTTCACTGGCAACAAGGCCAATAAGCTTTCTGATGGAACATAGCTTGAACAGAGATGAAACAAGAAGACTTTACAGGATTCATATCAATTAAACAAGTCACCCAGGGCTGTGTCCTCACTTCCTCTACATTGGCTGATTCTTTTTGCCCAGATGTGTACCTGCCTGATTTATTTTAGGCAAAGCAAAATAAATGATAAATGTAAAGACTAAGGTACTTGTGCGTATGGTTTTAATTGAAGATGATCCATTGTGCTCAGTCTACTTACCATTGCTGTAGTTCTACATTATTGTACATTTGCGTTTAAAATGTTCCCTTAAAGGTCTCGCTAATCAAATTTAACATGGAGAACAAAGAAAACAAGACTTAAGAGAGTGTACAGCTAATGAAGAAAATCACCTGCGTAGTTATTTGGGTTTTAGGTCAAGTTTTTTCTTGGTTTTAGGTCAAGCTTTTTAAAACCACAGAGAATGCAACTGTACATGTGCGCCACCAAAATTCTGCCTCATCAATCTGCCTCATGTGTCAACACACTATGAATTACTGAGGGGTATCCCATATGGGAAATCCCAAACTAAAACCCAACTTTCTCAGAGTTCACACACCACAGTCTAAACATAAACATCCTCTCTGAGTCAGAGCCTAACCATCCCTTTCTCCTCTTTATCACACGTGAAAGTCGAACTTATTTATTTAGCTCTGTAGTTACATGTATTACAGATAACCAAACATGTCTGCAGACGGACTTTGCTTGGCGTTTCATAAAACTTGTTTAGATATTTAAGAAAGACTCAATGCTTAGATGATCCACATATCTGTATGGTTAAATCGTCGTGTTAAAATATGAAGCTATATTATGACATAACGGACTTAAATGTGGTTTGACGGGCTGAGGCAAACCACGATCCCCTATAGTGACTGAAACTGATCATTATTAACCCAATTAAACATAAGTCACCACTCAAAATGATACTTGAGTGCATTAATAAAATCATATTTAAATATTATTAATAGCATGTAAGTCTGTGCTGACCAGTTAATGTTAGCTGTAAGATATTAACCGTTTAATGTGGGGACTTCTGCTTATGGTAGAGAAATTTATACCCAATTCATAATATTAAACCTTTTCCTATCTTCTTGGTTATTTTAAAAGCTATCTGTTAAAGTTATCGCCAACAAGTAACAAAAGAAACACGCTTAACCAGCTAACCACTTAGCTTCAACACAGCACAAGCTAACTAGCTCCTCGGCTAATATCAGCTGTCATCAACACCTAGCCGAGCTAAGCTAAGCTAAGCTAAGCTAAGCAGTCGGCAGTCAGGCTGTCAGCCCCGTTCGTGTCCTTACCTGGGTATGGTTAGGCATTTTGTGTTGACATTCTGTGTTGTGATTGCCTTTTCCAACTCGTCCAGCTGTCCCGTCTTCTTCAACTTCTTCACTAGACTTTTGACAGCCTTTTCGCACCATTTCTCCTCTTGCCCGTTCTGCTCACCCTTCTTCCAGCCGAGGAGCCTCTTGACGATCGGAGGGGTGAACGGTAATATAGACATTTTAAAATGCAACTTTAAAACAGTAGATTACAGTACGCATTTAACTCTGCGGTCAAAGATTTGCAACTGTGCAATGTGTAGGTCCCACAGCAAAAGGTAGCTAGTTAGCTTAGCCGGCTAAACTCCCGGACAGACAAACGGTTGGTCGCTGCCGGGGAGCAGCAGCAGCGGCGGCGGCGGCTTGCGTCGCAGGTTCGCTGCGGTCGAGTCGGCTGTCTGTCGGTCAATGTGGAGCGGCTCCTCCGGCAGTGTGGCTGTCTGTCTGCCCCTCCTCCAGCTCCTCAGTCAGCTGGCCTGTCCTCCACCTGTACCCTGCAAGTCTCAGGACATTGCACATGTAATTTATTTATCACAACACTATAACTACACCAAAATTAGCTACTAAATTTTAATTTTTAGAGCTCATGTTGAACAAGCTGTTAAAAGACTGTGAAGAAATGAGGCACCAGGCTTTCAGAACACCGTTTTCTAATTCAGTTTTAATTCAAATCCACATCCAGCATTTGAGAAATAATCTTTGTCTTTGTTTGGTTATTAATGTAAGTGAACCTCCCACCACCACTCCACCTTTTAAAACCCTGCAGTACACATCACTCCAATATACTACTATATACATTAAGGCAAGAAAGAGAAAAAAATGTTGTAATGGGAGACATGTCTACTCTGAAAAGTGATCCAACTTTTGCATTTACTGTGTCCATGAATAGAAGACACCCAGGAGTAATCCCTTTGATCCCCTCATAAAAGTGATTTAATTTCACCTCAGATGCATCTTTCCTGAAATGGACGAGGGAGGTGACTGCATTCAAAGGTATTTGGGGTTTTATGGTGTTATTGATAAGTGCACGCCGGTCTTGCTGCATTCTGTAAACAGCAGTGTGCCTGTGCTATAAATATCCCTGTTCAGATCCATTCCCTTTTCCTTCTCTCTATTTATAACCCCCATCAATGACTGCTGACTAATTTTAAGAAACTATCTGGCATGGCCTCCGACTTCCTTCTTCTTAAATATATATTATAGCTCTCTTGGCAGTGGCACCTGTATAATATTAAAGGACTATTAATGGCTCTCCATGGAGAAGTCTGCTGAAAGTATGCCCTACATCTTGTCTTACTTAGCTGTAAACACTGTCAGGCACTTACAATTAGGTCTGCAAATCATAACTATTGTCATGATGGATTGATCTGCAGATTATTTTCTGCATGTATTCCATTTTGAACCACCTGGTGAAAATTTAATCAGTAAAAGATTATATACTAAAGAATGAGTAAGATTTTTTGTATGCTGTTGATTGAAAAAAAAAATACTTTAGTGGAATATAAAAAGTTGCACACCATCTATCAATGGTCATACAGCATTACAGCTGTTTGTACTTGATCCAACTAATGTTGCTCTATTGACAACAAGCATCACTGCCTATTCTGCTTACTTAGAATGAGATAATCTTGATAACTGTGGATTAACCATACTGTCACATTCATGATATCTAAACTCTGGTCTGAATTTTTCACACAACATTATTTATCGATTATTGTAGATGCTGAAAGTGCTTAATCATCATGAGTCTCTACTCTCACGTACGTCTTCAGGGTCTTCTTGACACCTCTAACTGCCAGGGGACAGAGAGCTGGACAGCTGGCATGAGGGGTTTTTGTGTGTGTGTGCGTGTGTGTGTGAGGGAGAGAAAAATAGGGGCTTATGTTGTTTGTGTCAGACTAGGGAGGGGGCAGATGGACCACAGCAGGCATGAGAGGGTCTTGGGGACAGAGGGAGGACTGATTTTGGACAAAAGGCACGGTGGCTGCCTGAATAAGTAATGATTGCAGACAGTCTGATGGATAACAATAGCATTGTAATGGACCACTCATGGGTTACATGGGAAACAAGCAGAATGTGTTGCAGGGGCCACTGCAACCTGACTGCTGTCACAACAATCCTTAAACAAGGATGGAGTAGTAATTAGAGTAAATATCTCTTTAATGGGTCTTTGTCAGCATATCATTGTGATATCTTCAGTGTTACAACACCAGTGAAATCACAAAAAGTTTTAAAACCACTCAATTTTTTAATCTTGTGAAGGTCATAGCGCTGCTTCACGTACAAATTTTACATGCTGAATTATAGCTTTGAGCGTATTGTTTGATGAACAAACACCCTCATATTTACCCTCCACAGACCTGTAATTGCCCCCACAGCTAATTGCAGAGCGTCAGAATCAGACACAGCTTTTCAACACAACCCCAAACGGGTGGGGTCCACTTCTCCCTACAATCTCTGCCTTTTTTAAATCTTTCCTCACACTGCAGGCTGTTATCTGTTGCTCATAGCCATCAATCTCTCCCCAGACAGTGGGACCTCCAAATCTGAGGCAGAAGTGACCTCCCTGGTTGTTCCCTATCCCTGGTCTGAACCAAAATGCCTTTAAATCCCTTTCTGGATTCAGATCCATGAAGGTGACACTTCATCACATCCTCGGTTCTGCGTCTTGCCAGGTTAAATCAAACGATCCATATGGAACAAATTTTTTCTTGGCAGAAAATGTACCTCTTATTCTTTTTAGATTTGTATTTGTGGGATTTTTATTGTCTATCTTTAGATGGAAAAGCTGGAGAGAGACAGGAAATATAGTGATTTAGAGAGTGGGGGGAGACATGCAGCAGAGGATTGTGGTCTGAAGTCAAACCAGCACAAGGACTACAGCCTCTGTTTATGGAGTTTGGGCCTTAAATGTAGGCTAACTAGTCCTCCTGAGCACTTATTCTTAACCTGAAGCCTTTAATTACTATGTAACACCAACACTTTGATAGTGGTATTCATTTATCGTAAAGATTTATTAATGTATTAGCAACATCTAGCTGTTTTTATGTCTCTCAGGAAAGGTCATCATTTACCAAAGGGATTCTTTCAGCAGACCACCCAGATTTTTTTCTGTTATTTGCATTATAAGGTTTTTTAAAGGATACACAGGGAAAACTTGAAACTCTTTAAAACATATAACTTAAGACGGTGAGAGTTTGCCTGATTTAAAACACTTGGAATCCTCTCAAACATTTGAGCTGCAGTGCAGTTATGTAGAATATCATACTTATGTGCATTCAAAGGCTGGAACAAAACCATGCCCTAAAGTTTGATAAATCACATCAATATATTTAATTCAGAGGCAGACACTGACTGGAACACATGAAGTGTCAACATTATAGATAGTATATTACACCATCTAGTGGCTTTGAGCTATTACTACAGGATTGAGTATCATCCTCACATGTAGATAAAACCCAAGAAATGAAAGAATCAGGTAAAAAAAAACATGATAGTGATGTGAATCATGGGAAAACCCTGCTTCAGTTTGAGGTCCTGGTATTATGGGTAAAGCCTGACTTGTTTGCTGAGGTGATTCAAGTGTACAGTAACAGCAAAAGTACTCTTCATGCAAAATAGCCCATTTCGGAATAACATACATTTTATGGTTGGAATAAGATCATTTTTGTTGATGCATATCACATAGATTAAATTATATTGAAGTCAGTCATGTGTTCCTGGTTTGTTTGTGAATACTTACCCTGAAAAGGTAAGTATTATCTTTACTACAATATTATAAATCAGTCAGGGTAAAAAGTAGAATATCATAATGTAAATTATGGTAAAGAAGTAAGAAAAAGGGGCAGAATGTTGATACAGTTTGGGTACAACTTCTATCATTGCATTTCTAACGTATATAATAATTTCTTTTATTCTCATCTATCGTGTTTCGTCTCCTCCTCCTCTGTTTCACACTCAAGAACATTTAGAACTTGCTATGATTATAATGTATTTGGGATTCTCTGCCATTGATTTATAGGCTGTTCCATAAACACAATTTACATGTTTATTGTGAACAATGGCCCATAAAAGCATTAAGTTGATTCAGAGGCTTTGCAGAATATCTCCTCATCTTACATATGGATGGAGTGCAGCACTTGGACATGACTCATTAATTTCACCTTAGGGCTAAAATGGATTTCTGTGTGGCCTAAACCTCAAATACTCAGCTCTATGTTTACAAAAGATCTCTTTTTTGTAACTTGATTTCAAAGATGGGCATTGATGTAATCTGTATAGGCACTGAATAACCATGTTTGTTTGTTATTGTGATTTTGAGGTATCAGAAAGAAAAAAAAGTAAAAATTACAAGAGATTTTACTGTTTTCTTTCTTTTCTATTAAAAATGCACAGTTTTAACATCTATTTTAACAACTTCCTCCAGAAATCTTGAGGAACTTGTCATTTTGCGCGATCTAGTAAACACACTCTGTCATTCACACCACCACCAAAACTAATGATTGTGAAATTAGTTTCAGAGCAATCAGGAGCTCCCCTGCTAAGACCCACTGTATCCATATGCATGAAATTGCTTGTGTTAATACATGCTATGAATCGTGGGTAATGCAGTGAATAATTCTGACTGCACACAATAATGCTGTCTTCTATTAGATTGGGGACTGTTGTGAAACACAAGCCCTGTGGCAATATGCTTGTAAATGGCCATGTAAGGATAATTAAGCATTACACTTGAACATTAAAACTTGCTTATTTCCGAGAGCTGCGGGCTGTGGAGAGCTCTTATTGGAATCATCGCTATTTTTGGGCTTTCTCTATAATGTGTTCTCATTAGTACTGATATGCAAAACTTTTTAATCCCCCTTACTGTATCTTTAAAATAAGTTTTAATTAGTAAGAGTACAATAACAGTCACAATCAAAATTTAAACTATAATAAAATATACATTTTTCGGTTGTTCATTTACACAGCTCTGCACAAATGCAATCTGCACTTCCAACTACCCACTCCTGCTGTTGTGTCAAAGTTTTAGGCAACGTTTCCTGGACTCTGAGACCTGTGTTGGCTGCTGGAAGTCGTGTTTTAAAAAGATAAACACATTCCTCTGGACAGTGATGACAAGAGAGAGCTGTCACGTCCTCCAGCTGTTGTGTTTGGGTAGAACTTGTTGAAATCATCGGTGTCTTGTGTTGTGTTTACACACCATCCAGAACATCATATGTTAATCTCAGAGACAAGTGTCTGACAGAGTATGTTTCATGAGTGCAGAGGGCAGCAGGTGTGTTATAGCGTCAGGAATGATGAGCTTTACTTCTTTGGTAAACTGTGTTTACTTCTTGGGCTCAAACTGGATGCAGATGCTAGAGCTTAATGCATTTGTGGGTGGAGTAGTTACAGTTCTTATCCTGTTATCATCTATAATTATTCTTTATATATCACATAGCCTTGAGCCAGTCCATGTACTTGTAGATTCAAGAAGTAGTTTAGCAACAGAGAAACAAAAGATCTTATATAGTTTATTAGGTGCTTATGGACTTAATAATGCAAGATGTTAAAGTAGGCCTATATTTCTTTTGTTGAACTGTGAGTAGGGGATAAATTACAATGAGGAGGCAAATTCTTTTCAGTCTCAACAAATGACAAAATCATCAGTTCAGTGATTTTTTTATTCTCTCCTCTCACCCTATGCAAGGATGATGCAAAAACGATATAGATGGCTGCCAAGGGTGCCATGATCCAGAGGAACACTACCTTAAACCCCAAAAACTTGAATGTGGTCCTGTATGTGATATCAAATACTGCCCGACTGACTCTTTTCCACTCACATTCAACACTCCCTCTCTCAGTTACTCAACCACTGAATTACAACTTTAGTTAATAAATATTCAATGACGCTGTAGCAAAGTAAGTTTAAGGAAAACATTTCAAAACTTTCATGATTTCTATGATGTAGATGAAGTGTTCAGGGGCAATTAAAAAAGCACCACAATTTGTTTTATTTTTATGTTAAAAAATTATCACCCTTTTAAGACCTCTCAGCATATTGTAGAAAGCTCTAAATAAAACAAAACTGATCAGTTTGGATCAGTGTTTCATTATGACATATAAAAATGATGTTCTCTGTGAGAGAAAAAAAACTGTTATCTCAATGTCAGACAAGAAAATTTGTTCACTCAGTTCTTAATAAAAAATCCTTGAAAATAATTTTTAAACTCCCTTTAAATTTGGGTGTGCCATATCATTATATCATATCATCACCTACAGGGTGCCAAAGTAGCAAGAGGTGGCCCTAACGCTGTGTTAGAGTAGGGGAGCATAGTTAGGTAGAGTGTAAGTCTAACCTCTTACCATGAAGGGTGACCCTCAGCTCAAGCAGGCTACTTGAGGGGGTGGTTCTGGGACACCAGGGCTAACTGTAAAGCCTCCCAAAGGTGACATGGGCAAGAAGGTGTCCACTTGATATACCTTTAGTGCCCCTCTGTCCCTCTTTTTGTGTCTCAGTTTTGGGGGACAGCAGGAGTCATGTGGAGAGTATTGGTATGAGGGTGTGATGGAGAGGGTTTTCTTTACTGAGTGTTTAATCTCTTCATTAGAGCTGAATTATCTTGAGTTGTTTCAAATTCCTTCACACAAGCTTCTTCAAAGTGCTCTGTCATTTATTTCATTTTATTTTTGCTGCTAATGCATGTATTTAAAAGTGTTTAACTACAGAAAAGGGTGTTGGATAGAGCAGATGAGAGAGATACGTGCACTCAGATTACTTTGCTTCATTAAAAACACAACATAGCTGTGATGCCTGTACTCTTTCAAATCCATATGTAAACCATTTCCTCCCACCACCTCCTCCTCTCGCTCTCTTAAAACCTCCGGCTCATTAGTGTTGCCTTTATGACATGGCTTTACCTAAATGCCGTGGATTTTTCCATTCCCTCTCTGGCCCGCTCTCAGGCAGCTTGGTCTCTTACTTGGTAGCTCACAGAGGCTGAGGAGACATTTTCTTGTTTCAGCAGCATTCCTCTGCACTGATTGCTGCTTAATAAGATGTGTAGACCTGTGGGCTTTGTTAGGTACTTAGAGCAAGAGGGGAATTTACACCACATAGACCGCCAGGGATGGAAAAGTTTGGTTAAAGCAGCAGGATAGATCATTTGATTGTCGTTGCATTAGACTCTCACAGGCTTCAAACCTTCAATCGTGGTAGAAATTCCAAATCTGTGCTGACACATTGTATACACATAATTATAAAGCAAAGAAAAAATACCATCAGGCCACATTTTCTACACCAGAACTGAAGAACCACTCACTCTTGTCATCCACGTTTGGAATTAGTGAATCAAGTACTGCACAACCTGGAGGAATCTGAACATGAAGTTAGCAGATAATTTCCCTTCTCTACTCTACAACAAGCCGAGGTAATTGACTCGCATAAGTTCTTTGAAGGGTTTCTATTGTAATTTGGAAGTACACACTACTCTCCTTTCGGCCTCTCAGGGCATTACAACTTGGATCCATAAGGTGGCAGTATAACGTATTTGAATGTTCCCACAAAAAGTGTGACTTCTTCCTTCACTGGTGCTCCTATAATTGTTCTTAACACTAAACCTCCAGACATATTTGTAACCAACTCAATCTGTGGAGACATCCCGTCATTTGTTGTTGCATTTTTTTCCAATATTTGCACAAATGTTTTAGGGTGAGTATCCATAATCATATATGCGAATCAACATCACTGTCATATTTCTGGTGTTATAATGTGTAGAAGGAAGGAGAATCCTAGACTTAAAGCTGGAGCTGCAGTGACTGAAGGCAGAGCTGAGAGGAAGGTGAGTGATCCAGTTTTCCCACTGGCTCCTGTATTTTACAGAGAGTAGTTAAGGGTGAGACGTTTTTTCCTGTTTATCCATTTGGTGGAAAATAATATCCTGTAAAAAGCCAATAAGTTTCTGTCTTTGAACTCGCTGAGGGTTTTTCTTCCCCGCTGGCTCAGTGCTCTTTGGGAGAAATGAGGGTGAGCCGCTTGCCGAAGGACTTCCTATCAGCCGCCTCCAACCCTCCACACATGTTTCTGATAGACCTCCACAAGCCCCAGTAATCCGAGGGCAGCTCATTCAGAGAGAGAAAGGCAGCCATATAAAAAAAAAAAAAAAACAGGGAAGGGTGAGAGGGAAGAGAAGGAGATATAGGAGGGAAGGATGGACTAGAAAGCAGAGTGGGAGCAGGCCAAAGGGGAGGGAGGATAAAAGGAAACATTTTAGAGCATGTTATTTGCCTCTCTGGAGACAACGCTGCAGACTTCTCCATTTAAAATGGCAGTGATGTTTGCTCCTTTTGGATGGAGCCTTTATGCAAGTCCAACTTGTATATATTTTATATTCTAGATAAAAATCATACTGCATCTTTTCAGCTTTCTGCTATACATACCAGTTTGAAAAGGAAAAAATATATAATCCATAAAAACACGCTCTAATGTAAAACTGCGACCCTTGACATCACAGACATCTCAAACTAAGTGTGCTTCACTTGAAAAGTGCCCATCACCGTGTGTTTTTTTTTCAAATATTTACAGTAAAAGATCCATAATGGTCCAGGCTGAGTAGGTCTATCAGAGAGCTCACATTCGCAGGTCTGCAGCCTCTTTGAAAGAAAAACAGCACACACACTCTGCAGGTCTTGTCAGTGTCTTAAACACAATGTAATCCGTCATGCTTAATTTCCTCCTGTCCCTCATAAATCACCCTGAAACCTGTGCAGACAGACAGGAGAGTGTAAACACCTGTTGTGGTGCGTGTCTCTGTTTTAACATATGAGTAAATGTGAGTGAGTGTCAGTCTGTTGTATGGGGGTGGTAATGGAGGGGGGTGGATTCTGAGATGCTGGCTGAAGAAAAGGTGTGTGTGTGTGTGTGTGTGTGTGTGTGTGGGGTGGTGGTGGGGTGACTGTGAAATGTAAAACAGCTGCAGTCAGCTACAAAGAAGTCTCAGCTGGAATAACTCACTCACAGAAGTTACTCTGCTCTCCTGAGTGCTGGCAGATTGGTGCGTCCCAAAACAGAGGAGAGCAGACCCGTCCTCTCTTCTCCTCCATCCATCTGCACAGACACAAAGGAGCTACCCCTGCTATCCCTGATTTATTCTCTGAAGATCTAGAGGTATACTGTTGTTACCAAGTTCCACTTGTGACAGCAACTATTCCTCTCAGTTTGTGGGCATGAGCTGACAGTTTACACACCTGCACTACCAAGTAACTTGGAAACTCTTCTTCTCCCCAGGTGGTGCAGAAGTCTCTCTCTTTTTTCCTTTGGGCTTTGGAGTCTTTTTCTCCTCTGTAAACTCTGTGCTATACAGGAGTCTGCGGAAAACAGCATGTCATTGGCACTTTTGGCATTGGCATTTTTGTCCCTTTAACCCTGGAACACTATCGCTAAAATTAGTAACACCATCACTATCGCCGGGTGATTTTTTACCTGAAATAATTTACCCAAGAAAAAGTACTTGTCATCAAAATAAATCAAAATAGGACATGACAAATTAAAGTAGTTTTCTTCCATTTTCAACTGTGCAATGTCTAAAGGGAGGGGAAAAAGGTGCCATGAGGGGACCATATAAAAATGCAACAAAATAACTGAAATTAGACATTCATGAACAAAAAAATCCTAAAAAAATTATATATATAGAAACTGTAAACTTAGTTCCTTTTACACCCATTCCTGGGGCATGTGATTCTTCCCTGGTGAAGACTCAGGGTCCTTGGCACAATAACAGCTGCAAGAGAGAGAACCAAAATATGTCATATTTTGAGTGAGTAAAAATTATTCATAACCACTGCGCTAAATAAAGATAGCATGCAAATTCCAGGACCACTCTTACTGACCTTATTCGCCTATATGCAGCTATCAAATCCACCCAAACCTACTTTACCCTCTATCACTATTGCCGGGTGAAAATCCAAAAAGTTTTGGATCAGGGAAACAAATATGTCTTCAAAGATGTCAAAGGCAATGCTGAAGCAACCCAGGGACCCATGATACTAGGGTATACTAGAACTAGAGTTCTAGGGTTGAAGCCTGCGGACACATCAGCTGATCAGTGCACAGCAGGTGGAAGAACACATATGTGTTGCATCTGCAAATCGTGCGAAAACAAATGGCCTTTCTGATGGCAAAGTGCCAAAAAACAATAGCTTATTATAGCATCCGCTTACACTAAGATGAGTGTTTGAGCCAGCGTCTCTCAAAATTAGCTAAATTACTAGGAAGACTCGACCCCTTCTTCATAAAACTGTAGCCTAGCTTTCATGACGGTTCTCCCTGCAGTTTCTCATTAAAGAAGCAGAGCGGACCTGCAACCATTGTGGCTGGCACATGCAGCATTTACTGGTGACATATAACTCATACAACCCCACATCAAACATACCAAGCTATAACAAGATAAACATGTGGTTGGTTGTTTGTTTGTTGAGCTAGTCTTACAACAGCCCCTTCTTCCCTATCTCAGAGAGGGAGAGTGAGGTCATTGACAGCAGGATGTTGGGACACAGACACAGACAACACAAACACAGGCCTGACACTGTTGCCTAAGGTAGGAAATAATGTAAGTAATCTTGAGAGCGTTCACATGTTCATGTGTGTACAGGGATGGAAGAGCGCGTGTGCACATGGCTGTGTTTAGGGCCTAGAGGCTTGTTTAGCTGACCTCAGTGAAAGCAAACCTCATGACAGAAGGTCTGGCATTGTCTGTGTGCCCGGGCTGCTCTGGAGCCAGACGGTCTGCCGGCCGCCAGCTTTGCTTGCTTATAACGGCTGAGAACATCCGATCCCCTTGGGGAGGACAGGAGGGGTGGGGTGGGGGGTGGGGGGGTCTACTGCACTGCTCGCCACTTTCCTCTCTGTCTTTATCTCTGCTCTTTAGACAAGGAACAAGCATTAGCCAGGTCATCAACTTGTATGTTTATTATGTATGTGTATGCATGTGTGTGTGTGTTTGCGCGTGTGTGTGTAAAAGACAGAGAGCAGGAAACACCAAGAGGGCAGAGTAAAAAAGGGACAGGTTTGGAGTTAAAGAGTCAAACCAGAAATGGAAAATTGTGTCCAGGAGAACAGAGAAAACACACTCAGACCAGATCCTCTTCTTTCTTGAATGTGATCTGATCATCACAGGAAAAACAGAATATCAGCTAACGTCTCAGTGTCAAAGTGTTTCATTGATGAGTGTTTCTTCTTTCATCTCTCCATCCAGTTCACTTTTACTTATTCATCTATCACACAATGAGCAGGCTGAAGCTTTGTGCTCTGACAGGAACAAATAGCCTCTAATCACCACCAGACGCCAATGTTCAACCATGACAGAACACTTCCACTCCCTCCCTGAGCTGTGTGTTCGGTGTGTCCTTCCAACAAACCCTGCATGGACTCCACACGTGGCTCTTGGACGAGTGTTGGCTATTCTTGAAAAGCCATGAAAGACCGAAATATGGAACATTTTTGATGTTTTTAAGTTGCATAACTCCTGGGTGGAGTATTTTCCCTGCCACAAGTGGTTTAAAAATAGAAAGTCTCCGTTCCCGGTGCTTAGCGTAAGGTGGAAAGCAAACAAGTTGGCGGGAAGGTGGACAAGCCTTACCTTTGCTGCTTCGACTCCACTCACGAGTCACTGTGGGAACAGGAGGACATCTCCATGACTGCATGGAAAAGGGAAAACCAAAGCGATGGGAGGAAAAACTTTTAGGGTGCAGATACATGTGCAAGGAGAGGAAAGGGACAAACCTAAAAATAGTGAAAGAGGATCTGAACAGAAGAACATAGTTGTACCAAACGACAAAAATCAACTAAACGTGAAACAGGACAACAAAATCAGTGATACCGACCACAGCAGTCCAGTACACAGAGGATAAAAACAGAGATTTATTTCACAGTTTTCACCTCGTAATTCAATTTTTTACGGTGCCCATTACATATCTCAACACTTTCATTGTTTCATAGGAGGAACATTTTTTCTCGTAATGGAAGCTGAGATGAACCCTCTGTACATTTCCTGCTTGGCATCGAATGACAAACTGACACAGTTAACAACTACCCGGTGAACAACTACATTTAATTTCGTTGAGTCAGATATTTCCAGAGAACAGGGGGTGGGGAGTGACTCCACATGAATGGTTAAACCAGTTTGTTTACATCAGCTGTTTGGATAGGCAACTACTGTATGTTAGGTGACAGTTGTAGACAGAATAAAATGTGAACAGAGTCAATGTTGGTGTCTGAATGTAAATTTTGACGCTTAATGTTTGCAGGTCCCATGTTAGAAAGCTAACTCATCCTAACTTTGGCTCAACCTAAACACAAAGAGGTGCCTTCTAGCAAACAGCTACAATGCGCCTGCCTGTCCATCAAGTCAGTTGTGTTCCCAACTGCCCCTAGTGATGCAAATTTATAAATCTTAGCCTCACTATACTTCAATTTAATATGTGTCCGTTTTTTCTGTAAAAATATACATTTTAATGTGGGACCCAATGAGGATTCTTTGCCTTTCCCTCCATTTAAAGGGATATTCCAGCGTAAAACTAATTTAGGGTCAAACACACCGTAACACCAAGTTAGACACCCCCTCGAGAGATGAATGTTGCAGACTGCTTGCTTAACTAGTTATACCAACTTTCGTAAAAAACGCATGACAGCGATACACAGCGGTCTGAGGAGCCACAAACAAACCTCAACCAAAACACCACTCTATAGCCACAAATAATGCTCAGAACAGCACCTAACTTCATCAACAGTACATATAGGGTCCTAGGAAGAACATCATAAATGTTCTTCCTTGAGCTGCGTCACCCCGCTGTAGTCAATAATGGACTTGCCCAAGGTCTCACTACAAACAAACGGCTGCTGGAAGAGAGTAGGTGAGTTGTGTTTAGTCTCTTTGCTGAAGAAATTAGGCAAAGTTAAAAAAATGTTTGGTGGCTAGTGCTATGGCTGGGACCCTATATGTACTGTTGATGAAGTTAGGTGCTGTTCTGAGCATTGTTTGTGGCTATAGAGTGGAGTTTTTGTTGAGGTTTGTTTATGGCTCCTCAGACCACTGTGTATTGCTATCCTGCAGTCATTACTAAAGTTGGTGTAACTAGTTAAGCAAGCGGTCTGCAACATTTATCTTTCAAGGGGGTGTCTAACTCGGTGTTACGGTGTGTTTGACCCTAAATTAGTTTTATGCCAGAATATCCCTTTAAGAAAAATATGCTAAGACAATCTCACAGTTTTCCAAAGGGCTCAGCATCAAAATTTAGATAGCGTTTAGCAGCTAGATGTTGAACATAGCAGAGCATTAAATGTGGCCTTAAAGAGTACACCAAATTAATGGTTGTGTTGATTTGTAATTGCAGGGCTCGAAAACAAATGTTTGCTAACAGCTAAATCATACAAACATTAACAGGCTAAACGAGGCCACATTTGTGATTACAGCTGGTTGCAGTGCTAAATAGTGGCCACAATAATTGGTGAGTGTTTGAAGCACTGATACTAATACGCGGGCGCGTAAAAGCAGAAGGAAGTGCCACAAAAAGCTTGACTGTGATGTGATCAAATGGAAACTTCAATTAACAGAGGTAGAAGCAGTTACTTTTCCCACAGCAAAGAGACTTTTTTCTAAACACACGTCACCCTCATCAGACCATGTTTCTTTTTGTTAACATTTTCATCTTGTAAATCCTTAATAGCCTAGAGTTTATCTTACATGGTGGGAACAGTGAGCAGTCATCTGCTGCACAGATCCTTCAGTGTGTGTGTGTGTGAGTGAGTGTATGCGTGTGTCCAGTAGCTGCTCTGCTCTACACTCTTACAACACAGGACGAGGCCCAAACAACACCGCACATCTGGAGCCTCAGCTGGCCTCCAGCCACAAGTACTCCCTTCTCCTTCTCATGGGATGTACATTACAGCACTTTGTAAATGTACATTTTCATACCTACAGCCCGAGCCCCTGCTCAAATAGGGGACATCTTTGTGGACAGAGGTCAAACAAAGTTTACTCAGAGCATGTGAAGAACATACTGCCTGGTTTGTTTGAAGGTGTGTCTCAGGCAATAATAGCTCTGATAAGCAGCACATCTTGATTTTCATAGGACCCATGTTACTAACATGAACCAACACTTCACAGAGATCCACTCAATGCATTCTGCTGTGGTGACATGGCAGCAGTGACCTTTGGCAGGTCAGTGATCAGATAGAGAGTAATTCTAAAGAATGCACACAAGCCACGCAGATTGTTAATCCTTCAGATCAAATGATCACCGCCACGGCCTGTGACTTCATCTTCACTCTGTACAGCTGTGGGAACTCACCACATATCAGTCCCTGATCAGTATGACGATCTTTGTCAAGCGGCACATCAAAGGAGGCGCGAGTTAGTTCATACTGCAAACAGTAAAGTACTGTTGTATCTCAGAACTGAGGTTGTCAAGATGTTGTCAAGTTTGGTGTCAGACATTATAAATAACATTATCAAAAAAAGTCATCTTCTCGCTGATTTTCTAGTTTGCTTTGTGAGTTGTGTAAAGGCACCAGTATTGAAGAAGAACTATGCCATACCCAATTAAAATGTCCTTACTGTAGCTTTAGGACAATCTGCATGTGACTAGCATCAGACCAAAAGAAACCCGCCATCCCCCACAATGTTGAGTTGAGAAGACACTGTGGACCAAAGCAAAGGAAAATGCTGGAGTTGTGTAAAGTTAGATTAAAGCTCCAGTGAGGAACTTTTGGTTTGTGTCAGTTAAAAAAAAAAAGCCAATCTTGGACTTGATGGTTTCATTTAGGTCCGTGTATTATCCATCCATTCAATTATTCCATTCAATCTGGTAAACGAAAAACGAAAATACGAGTCAATATTTTGTTTATTTGTTTTTCTGTATAACCAAAAAATAAAAAAAAATAGTGATTGTTTTCGTATTTTCAGTATATAATAATGAAGGAAACTAAAATGAAATAATAAATCTTATTTACATTTATTGATTTTGAGTGCGCCTGTTTTGAGCATACGTGCATGGAGGCTACATTGGCCTTCTCATGATCCTCAGCGACAGTTACCATGGCGAAAGATGCGACAGAGCGGTTTGACCTCCAAAATCTTACGTTGTAACAGAGCTCTGGTTGTAATTTTTTCTACAGTCATATCTCCCTCCTTCAGCGTGACCCTCCTGGTGGCTTTGATTAATACGTAGGATGCGTCCATCTCCATGACAGAAAGGCCTGGAGTTTTTGGTCCATGTTGTTGGCTACTTTGTTGCGCAATGCACATGTGCGAACAGAAGAAAGGCATCGTGGGAAACGGGGACATCAATAACCTGAAAACGGAAAGGAGATTTATTATTTTGTTTGCATTTCCATCTCTATTATACATTCTGTTTTGAACTGAAAATACGAAACAAACACTAATCTTTTATTTTTCGGTGATATAGAAAAACAATAAACAAATTATTGACTCGTTTTTTCGTTTTTCATTTACTAGATTGAATGGAATGATTGAATGTACGGATAATACATGGACCCATTTACTTTGTCATGCAAAGACATCAATAGTAATTTTAATGTGTTTCTTTATAAGAACTTTAAGGACTGTATACAGTTACTTTAGCCTATGACAAACATATTTGCTTCCCAGGTGCCATTTTTGTTCATATATTGAGTTTTCCCATGTATACCAATAATTTAATAATGACATGATGATGATGGAACAGCATGGTGTGACTCAATAAGAGAGCCACCACTCACCTCACACAGGCTCAGCTGAGGTTTGTAAGAAATTATAGATGAGAAATAGTTTACTTCTCCAGCAGACACAGACAGACAAACCATTATCCCTGATAACATTAAATCTATGTGGAATCAGAAAAATGAAAAGTGTTTTCATATCTACAGCATGTCTATGCTTTAATAAGCTGAAATTAAGTTATTCAGTTTCATACCCGCTGCCAGACACCTAAATAATCTCTTTTGTACATTGTAGAGGAGCCAATTCTTTCCCAGCCCCCCTCCCTCTCTCTTCATCTTCCTTTCTAACTGAACAAGGGTTGACAGGTTCTTGTCGTTCCTGGCCAGTCGGAGGGAGAGTCAACAAAAGAGTCCTTGTTTGAGACTTACCCCTGTCAGGCTGCGCACTTTGATATTAAAAACTCAGCTAAAGGAGGAGGGGGTTTAAAGAGGGGGAGCAGCGAGGGGAGGATGAAAAGGATGAAAACAAACACCTACTGTCTCTGCAGTCCGTGTCTGTAGGTGTAACCTCATAATGGACTCACAAATATTTGTCCAGTCAAAACAAAATAAAGCAGCTCTTTGACTTCTTGTGTAGTAAGTCTGATCAGCATGTCTCCAACCTGTCCCACTGTAACAACCACCTGCCTATTCTCTTGTGCGCTCACACAGCACTCATATTGACACAGGGGGGCTCGCTTTAGTTTTGAACACACACCTCTCAGACTGGACCCGGGCCATCACCAGAGGGGAGAAATCCCCTGATACTGTACCTCACTGACTGAGGCTGTGCCAGAGACCTGAAATATAAGCAGATGCCTGGTTGTGCCCAAAAACGTGCGCACGCCAGCGAAAATAAACCAACACTGATGACCAAATTTACCCTGCCCTCAGTTTCAACCTATACCCAAGAGTGAGCGCTTGGCAGGAGAGTTCAATACTGCATTTTGGAGAAGAACTTAACTTTCACACTAGGGCGCCACGGGACATAAAACACATTATTAAAAATATGAATTTCATCACATCACTTACAAACACATCATTCACCCCCTCCTTCAATTTGCAGCCTGTTCTCTGGGCCTGGAGGAATGAACGGCAGCAACAGAGATAAGTCTGTATGCTTTCCAAGCAGAGGTGACAAGCTGCAGCATGTCGGCCATTCAGGAAGAATGCAGCAGCAAGTGTAATGAGGATTTTCTTTTACTTTCTGCTCGCAAGGCGCCTGCTATTATCCTGATTTTGAGAAGCCCTGAGGGCAGTTATTACAGCATTTATATTAATTCCCTTGGATTGCTTCATTTCGGTTCATACAGGCCAGAGAGAGAAAGACTCGGGCAATTAGAGGAATACCAGAAGAGAGTGGATGAGCTCAGTGATGGCACAGAGACGGCATTGATCCGTGTGCTGCTTGATGATTGGCATCATTGTCCTCCTGATGACAGTAAGATCTCTACTTGCCTGAAGTACCAGGGCCTGTTGTACTGTGGCTGACCCGGCTTTCTGTAGCTGGGGGCTCATTCCTATTAGCAATAGTTTGCCATGTTAATGGCTGTTAGAACATCATCAGGCTCGTCAGCTCTGACAGGCTGCCGCCACTCGTACCTGCAGCCACAGGCGAGGGGATGGGCATCCACATAAATCTGCAGAGGAATCTGTGAGAACGACGCCATCATGCACAGAAACCAGCCGACAAGAGTGGAAAAGACAACAAAGCTAGAGCGGCTCGTTCACATACAACCTCCACCTGGGTAACCCGGGTAACCTTGAACTGTTTTCTACAATTTGTTTGCACTTCTAACAAAGAATGATATTCTCACTAAACTCATCAGATGATCACATATGAAACCAAGATTTTATTAAACACATTCAACCCCAAACTGGCTTTAATGGACTGATCAGGTTCTGTATATCTTAAGGATTGAGTATAGCAGCATTTACCATAGATGACTTTTACCAGTATAGCAACACACATACTTTAATGTACAAATAATTATAATTCAATAAAATCCTGTTTGCTGTTATGAAATAGGTCATTCTGTCTTTAATTTAAGAATATTTTAAGACCATTGCTTTCTTACTTTAACTTTTTTTCAAGTATCTTTATGCTATACTACTTTATACTTCTACCTTAGTCTGTCTCACACAACTGCTTTTAAGATTCAAACACACCACATATCAGGCATAAAGGCCATTTTCACTTCAAAATAAATACTTTTTTCTTTATATTCAGCAGAAACTCTCAGTCCTATATCCACATTGTTGTTTTTCCACTTCATTAAAGGACCTGAACGCTACTCAAAGCAAACACAGTCTCTCCACTCATTCCTGCTTTTTTAAATCCTCTCTTCTCCTGTCGTCCTCCTGCATGCTCCTCTCCCTCTCTCCTCCTATTCCCCCCTCTCTCTTACAGCCAGGTGCTGACAGAAGTTAGCATTCACAATCTTTCTGTGGAGGCTTTAACAGGAGCCAGATGAAAGACAGCAGCAGATTAAGATGTTAAACAGCCTCAGATGGGATGGCACGGGATGCGGGAAGCAGTCCGGGCCGGAGTGCGGTGGAAATGGAGACAAACAAAAGCCCAGGAATGTCAGATGGAGATCATGTTGCATGGCCCTTGAGGAATAATTCTTAATATTAACACTGGCTGGAAATCCCTTGGGGTCTCTAAGGACCCCACAAAAGCGCAGAGCCTGGGGACTGAGCACTTTGAGCCTCTGAGTTTTTGATTAAGTTTTATGCAACAGCGACCCTCAACCTGGACAAATGCTTTAGAAAAAACAATCATATTTTTTATGTAAATTGTTGCCTCAAAACAATGGATAAATCTCTGCTTGGAGGGGATTGTGTTGCTGATCCATAGTATTGAGCAGACAAGCCAACAATTCCTGGCCTGAGGCCGCCTCGTCTGGAGCAGCTAAATTGGCAAAGAGTTGAGTATTGAATGTAAAGTTACACTGCACACTGTTTGCCAAGCCTGACATAAATTAAGCATTAAGATAGCATCATGAGTACTGCTTTTAACATCCAAGACGATGTCATAGCCCATAAAACTTTTACACTGGGCTGGACTCGAGTAGGCTGTAGAGCATTTTTATTAGTTTAATACTTGAAGAAAGGTGCAGCTAAAGGTTTAAGGGTGCAAAAACTATGCAGTTCAAGTTTACGATGAATTTCATAGAAAAAAAAAAGCGAATGTTTAAATCTGATTAGTGATTTACTGTCCCCTCGTGTGACTAATAACCAGCCACAGTTCAAAGACAGTGAAATAAACACTGTTACAACAGCAATGAAAACAGTTTTCCCTGGTCACGCTGGTATCCACACACCCTTTCAAATTAAAATCACAATAGAATAACTGAACAATTGTGTAGACAAGTGATCTGTGTTTAGCAGAGCTTTTACACTGAGATAAAACGCTGCCGTACAGAAGTAAAGCAGGAGAAAAGAGCAGTTAAAACCTGCAGCTGACTCTGAGTTCTTCTTCTTCATTTCAAGGGCACCAGCTTGGCAACTTTCCTTTTTTTCTCTCTCTTTTGGACTTCCACCCAGCCTCTGAGCTGATTGTGAATGGCGTGTGTGGAGTGTAAGTGCTCGGTTTGATTTGCTGCGCCAACCCCTCTCTCTCCATCTGTGTGTGTTTTCCTCTGAATCACACATTAAAGAAATGGGGAGAGAAATGGCTCACTCCTTTGTTTGCTTTGATAAGGTTCTGTGTGCATGTTTGATGATGTGTAATGGAATGTAACATGTTCATTTTGTCACATTAGTTTGCAGGAACAACACAAACTCCCCCACGTGCACGTGCACACACAAATAAGCACACACACACACACATTCCCGGCCTCTCGCTGGCACTCATATACTCAGCAGGTATGTCAGTGTGGAGACAGGCGCTTGGTATGTGCCCCAGGAATGCGAAACCTGACCTCTGGGCTGGAATTTGAGCCCTCCTAGCTCATCTTCATGCTTCTCAGAGATATACGCTCACAGCCAGAACATCTCCAACAACTGGAGGTCTGGTTTAAGCTCTGGCAGCGGCCAAATGAAGATATCACAACACACTGGGCATGAAATAGGCATCAAGAGGTCAGCATTAGCAATACAGCGGCAAACATTAGGAAGACTTTTCTTAAAGGAACTCTTCGATAAGTGTGTGAAATACTGTTTCCTAACAGCTTCATGTCTGTGCAGTAAAGAGAGGTTAGTTTAGCCTAGGACATTAAAGGGATATTCAGGTGTAAAATTAGTTTAGGGTCAAACACACTGACTGCTCTATCTCTAGTTATACCAACTTTAGTAACAGCTACACGAAAGCAGTCAAAGTGGTCTCAGGAGCCACGCGCTCAACCAAAACACCACTCTACAGCCACAAATAATGCTCAGAACAGCACCTAACTTCATCTATAGCACATATAGGATCCTAGCCATAGCACTAGCCACCAAACATATTTTTAGCTTTGCCTGATTTCATTAGCAAAGAGACTAAACACAACTCACCTACTCTCTTCCAGCAGCCGCTTGTTTGTAGCGAGACCTCGGACCAGTCCATTACAGACTGCAGCAGGGTGATGCAGCTCAAGGAAGAACATTTATGATCATTTCTTTATGGAAATGCAATCAAACAGAGATGCTAAGGCAGAAGAACTACCGTGTCTGCAGTGCAAAATGATTAATATGGTGATTATTACTAAAGGAAATGATAAAGTAATGATCATAATTGTTCTTCCTTTTGGTTTTGAGAGTTTTGTTTGAGCGCGTGGCTCCTGAGGCCACTGTGTATTGCTATCATGCGGTCACTACTAAAGTTGGTATAACTAGAGAAGCAAGCGGTCGGCAACATTCATCTCTCAAGGGGGTGTCTAACTCGGAGTTACGGTGTGTTTGAGCCGAAATCAATTTTACACCAGAATATCCCTTTAAACATGAGGAAGCTGCTACAATAGCTCCTTCTACAGTTACACAAAAAGCACCTCCACCACCTTTAAAACTCATGTCTGATCTCAAGCTTAGAAGCAGTTTGTCTTAGCTTGAATATCAGTGATATCAGTTCTATCGTCCAGCTCCAGGCGAGACGACAAATATGTCTTTTTCACAAACTCGTTTCTTGGTGAAATTCTGCATAATTACCCAGAGTTATGTTGGTTTGAAACAGCTGCAGTGGCCAAAGTAAGTGAGAGCCATTAATGTTCAGCCTCACTGAGATGACTCCAATGCAGGCAGAGAAACAGAACAAAACAGAACCAGCGACGTGGACATCTCGGCTCCTGAGGAGAGGAGGAAGAAAGCCCACATGGCTGAGCCTAACCGCCTCGACAGCTCCAGCCGCCCAATCAGCCCCGGTCCACAGAACCACCAGCACTGTGGGCCAAACCTCAGACTGGAAGCTTGGAAGGCAAAGCAGTGTGACTGCATTTCCTGAGTCCACCCCATTTAAACTCACAATATGGAACATATTAGGAGCCCTGCATAAAAGGGGGGGGGCTGCGTTCCTAGATCTCCTCTTTTACAGCCCCTTGGAAAAAAAAAAAAGAAAAAGACTCAGTCAGACCTCCACAAGGACAACCTCGATGTTTGGAAAAAAGTTGTTGAGTTCTTGGTGAGATCCGTGAATATAGAGGATTACCTCTTAAAAAAACATGCGAGTCTCTGTGTTAAGTAAATGTATTTTGTTTCATTTAGCACAAAGAACAAAATGGGCTACGATTGGCTGGCTCAAAGACTGTCATTTCTAGAAAACCCACAGGCAGGCAAGAAAATATGTATCTCTGCACACTGCATTCATGTGCTATTGCCTCACTGTTTAGATGAAGGAGTCTGCAGGGATTTGATTATAGCCTATAAAGCCACTCTATTAAAGGCTGGTATACATAATAGAATTTTTGAGACAATAACACACAAACCTAAGCAAATAGGCATTCTCCTCTCATCAGCACAACTCCTCATGCAGAAAGACAAATGGAGGAAACGGTCTCTCGAGGAGAGGGATAATTTAACAATTAGGATTCTGCTGGTTTCTGTCCTGAATGAGTCCCACTTCTTTGGTCGTGGTAGGAATTCTGGTTTTTAGCAGAGACATTGTGACTTTTGGAAAAGGGGTGTGCTTTTTAGTGATGTGAAATCCCATAAATTTAGGTGAGACAACTCAGGTATCCAAAATGTATTTACTTTAACTTTATTTAAGAGCTGCAGTGATTCTACGATTTAGGTTAGACAAAGGGAGGCACCAACATGATCAATGCAGTTAAAAATGAGCCTGAGGATGTGCATATATATGTGTGTTCATGAGCATGTGCTCACACTGTGGCATTCTTTTAACCTCTGTGGAAACTCACTAAAATAAATCCTTTTCGTACGTCAGAGAGGCCCCAGCGCACCCTGTAATTACCGAGGGGAGGGTGGGATCTGCAGAGGAGCATCAGGACCGAGCTGCTTTTGGCTTCTGAAAAACCACCTAAATGCTTACTCAATGCTCTGTTCCAGGCTTAGAGCTAACCGTTTGGGGCCTACAGCACAGTAGCAGAGACATAATTTGTCATCAGAGACGTACGAAACAAAACAAACAAAACATGTCACTTACAGACCCGAGTATTTTGAAGTGTAGGCAAAGACAGACACAACACAAACGGGTGCATTTCTCTGCATCCATATTCAACCCATTAAGGTGGAAAAACACCCAAAAGGAGTCTCTCTTCCCTGGCAAGCCCTGCGTGCCGTCCCATAATCCTCTCCGAGAGCGTGGATCCCCTGTGCGCCGGCATGTGTCAGCACGCCCAGTAAATGGCGAGCATGGCAGCTGTGAGAAGCCGTAATTAACACCCTCAGCCAAGGTGAGAAGACATCCGTGGGCTGGTGTTCATGAGCCGAAGAGAAATGGGAGAAAGAGAGAGCAGGAAGTGTCTGAGGCGCTCTGTGTAATCTCCCTTCGTTCCAAAAGGTGCTATTACCTCACTGCTTTTTTTTTTTTTCGTTACTCAGGCCAGATGTGCAGGGCAGGGTCACCAGGTAGTGCCGAGCTGCTGGAGCTTCACATCTGCTCAGTCTGAATGACCTACTGAGTCTCCAGTGCTAATTATATGTCTGAAAACACTTTAAACTGACATCATTAGTCCTCATTTCTAGTTCACGTTGTCTTTTCCGCAGATGTGCTCACATTTGTTAAAAGGCGAATTAAGTGGCTTGATTGTATTTATCAAAGAGACCTCAATCCTTTGTAGCCAACTGTGAACATGGAGGAGCGAGCCTTAGGAGAGGCTTACAGGCAAGAATCTACAGTCTGAGGAATGCACTGAGGCTTTGGCAGGACAGAAGCCATAATAACAGGGTTTCAAAACTCGGAGCTTTAAAAAGCAGTTGTTCGCACACAAACTCAGAGACTGCGCACAGAATCGCAACTTCAGATACACCTTCAGTGAGCGTTTTCTTATTTTAAACAGACGGCTTCATATTGGTGTTGGTTGTTTTATCTCCTATGTACTCTCATAATGCATCCCGCTCTGCAGCTACGGCTCACTACGTCATGAACAGTGGAACAAAATGGCGCCGCAAGTTTTTTGGGGCAGAGAGCGACACAGCCTCCTCCAGAAAATGATGGAGGGCTGCAGCCTGCTAATCAATACCATTCCTGGGATCATGGAGCACACATTGCTGCTTACATAGCTTTTCCCTCTCTCTCTCTCTCTCTCTGCTTGATGAAGTCCTCCTGCCACAACTATTCCAGCTCAGAAGCAGAGATGCCGCTACAGTCGATGTGTAATGTCACTTGGCTTATCCCCCATCCCCGCCTAATTAGGCCCCCCTTCTATACCCTCTGTGGTGGCTTGTGTAATCTGCCTACTATGTGTCTTAGCTCCTCGCCACCCCATATAATTGTCCGCCAGTTCCTCTCCAGTGGTGTTGCGGGCCCTTTTCCCATAACAGAGACACAAAGGAGAAGGATAATGGCCCCCAGTTGTAGGGAAGAGAGCGGAGGCAGAGACGGAGGCGGAGTGGAGCCACTCCTCTCTGCTGTTTGAACTCTGCACAGTCTTGGCTCCAGACTGACAGCAGGCCTGGAGGAGGCTGTCTGAACCTTCGCAGCAGAGGACAGAGATGCTGCACTCAGCAGCAACAACAAGTAGTCAAAAAGCTGAATTTTTTAACAAAAATGATGACCACCAGCGAATCATAAAATACACAACTTCTCCTCTTCACAAACTTCAAAAGCCTCATCCAGGAGTTTGGATGTTTCACAGAGCCCACTTTTAAAAACCTATGTCCTTTTAACTGCACAGTTCAGCACTCATTAAACCAGAATCAGAGTGTTAGTGAATGCCTCCATTGCTGAATGTTGGCACAGACCTCTTCACCCCTCCCCCCTTCTTGCTACCACCACCGCCAATCTGACAACCCAACACCAGCAATTATGAAGGAAGCCAGCTAAACCACATCCACCTTGGCTGCAGTTTTTTAAGATTCCAGCAGGCTTGTAAAACTTCTTGGTTTCCCTGCACGCATTCCAGTATCACTGTGGTGGTTTCAGGGTGCAGCATCCCCGGGGTCAGTTATGACAGTGGACATAGTGAGACACTGCGGCTGCAGAGACCTGAGACTCGCAGGGACGGACGGGCCTGCGATGATGCGCTGAAGGATGAACACCTTTAGAAGGATTAGCTAAGTGGTTCCATCATTTCCTCCCCCTACTGTCCTCAGCTACATTCTCCCCTCTTTGTGCACATTACTGAGGCTCTTTAGGACCTCAAGGACACGTGGATCCTAAAATCTTGATGCTGTTAAAATCTAAATATCAATTATGTATTTGGGTCTGCAGTCAACTCCACCACTCCCCTTCGTGACGAGTAAGCTGAATCAACAATGAAATGAAAGATCACCTTTTCCCCCTTTTAGATGATTGATTTAGGATTGACTTCATGGACGTCTGAAGGAAATCAATAAACGTTCAGATACCATAGAAATAACTCAAAAGAGAAAACAAAGAGCTAATAACGCAGACCAAACAAAGAGGATTATTATGCGAATACTTTATTGTCAATGTGTGAATGGTGTTAGCTTTTTGTCTGGATATTAATAGTATATGAAAACTATACACCAAATCCAGACTCATCCTAATTTTGCTGTATAATTTTTCATGTTGGTATTGAAAGATTCTTTATCTTTATATATATTTATATATATATAATATATATATAAGCCAAAGTGCATTTTCCGTTTTTTTCCTCTTGTCCATACACACATTGCACCATACATAAATAATTACATTGTAAAAATGACTCCGTATTTACAAGTATAATATATATTTCATATAATATATAAAACTTTATATTAAATCTAGGTAGATGATATTTGGGATAGTTTTCAGGGTCCATCTGTGTTATCTGTGGTTGTTGAGGAGAATCTCCAGCCAGCAGGGGCAGGAGGTGATGAACTGTCTTGAGTAGCAGGGACCCCAGCCCTTAGCAAAGCTGATCCGCACACTGTTGGGGTCGTAAGGTCCGTCCAGGAGGTCAGGGTCTGTGGTGTGCCTCAGTAGACACGATCGATCATAGTCAAACACCTTTATAGAGAAGCCTGGCATCACCTTTCGCACCACCAGAGTTCTACTGTTAGGCACGTCCAGGGTAGGGGAGTTCACAAAAATGGGGTGCTCGCTGCGGTTATACGCCCAAATGCCGTCCGGCTCTTTGCTGAGGAGGATACCATAACCGATTTTGCCTCGTGTGCGCTGAACGGTGCTGCTGCGGTGTTCCAGGTTGAGCTGGCCCAGGCAGAAGCCCGTGCCCTGAGGTAGATCATAAAAGATGCTGACAGAGTGCTCGTACACTGTGTAGAGGCGACCCACTCGTGTGCGGTGCTCCCAGTATGCCACGTTACACCAGTGGCTCTGCTTGGGGGCGTCAGGTGACATACTGGCATCTAGAAGGGACAGAGACAGAGGGATGGTCGTTAAACAAAACATAAACAACAGCAAAGAGGCCTAGTAAAAAGGAAGGCTTAGGTTTTAAAGGATTAACTATCTGTTTTATTGTTCACAGCAGATGCCCGCACTATAAATACTAAAGGAGGCGCTGTATTGAAATCTAAGCCTTGTAGAAATACCACTGCGCACGCATCCGTCCAACACACATGTGCAAACAAAAACACACGAGCTACTATACATATCCTGATGGTGGGAAGTGTTGAGAGGTCAGTTTGAACACCTGCAGGGTCGTCCTCTGCCTCAAGAGGGCACTGTGATGATTAAACACTGACCACCCAGCACTGAGGCTCACACTGTATTTTCAAAACAGATCATGTTCGCTGACATGAATGAAGAGCTACACTCACTTATTCCACTGACTGTTGCTTGACGGGAGTATAATGTGCTGTGTATGAGACGCAGTAAAAATTCACCTTAACTTTGTTTTGAAAAATCTGTGTCTTTTAATAAACGGCTGAGTACAGAGGTGTTTCTTTCTTTTTAACAGTAGAACAGCGTTGGCATCCTGTTCCTAAACGTCTCTGTCCAGTAAATCAGCTTGTTAATTCAGTCGTCATGGCTGCAGTCTGTGAACTCTATGCAGTGACAAGCCTCAGCACTCCAAAGTGAGTTACTACTCCCTAGGTAGACTTCTATCTTCAACACACAGCAAAGACACACACCACTGTTGACTGCTTCGGTCCACACAGTTCAAATCTGTCATGTGTTTACTCATGAAATCTGAAGTGTCGGGGAGGAAGGAGGCTGGTGGATCAGGAAGAAAAGAGTCCCGTGATCTCACATCCCAATCTTTCCCCTTACTTCTGGGGAGTTCGGGTACCTCTTTCCTCTCTTCCCTCGTCTTCCTCACATTCCACAAAAGTGGGGGTGACGGGAGAGGGCCAGGCAGGGGGTCCCCCTCCCCCTCCACCCAGCTCTTCCCCCTGCTGTGGGCCCAGGGACGGCATTCAGCTCCCTGACAACTTAGCACAAGCCCGTGACCCGCTGACCCCCCAGCCTTCATGCTATCAGCTCCCATTAACTCACACACAGAGTGATGCCATTATTTTGCTTCAGAGAGTCTATTGGCACAGAGGATTTAAAGCCTGGGCCTGTGGCCCCATTCCTTTCAGTCTCTCTGCTCGCAGGGCTTAATGACCGCCCGCCCCATTAACAAACGCCTTTAAGGTGGAGCATTGCAGATCCATGCAGCAACAAAATGCCTTGCTCACCTCCCACCAAACTAAACCTTTCTGCTGAGTGACCCACACAAGTAAAGTTTATACAAAGATTAGCAAAAACCTTCAGCAGACTTGCAAAGACAAAACGCCTGCTGGTTGTGGAGGGGGAGGAAAAGAATGAGTGGGTGAGTGGATGAGTGAGTGAGTGACTGGGTGAGTGGGGACATGCGGGGGAGGGGGGAGCTGTAGACAGGCTCTCTGTGTGTTTGCGCACACACTGATGGCTGAAATGACCCCCTCTCTTCAGGGGCCCCAACATGCATGTGCCATTAGTGAATTCCACACTCCAGCTCCTCCACTCTGAGCTCAGCTTTTACTTCAGCGCGGCTCAGCCAACAAAGAACTCAGCCCCAACTTGTTTATGGCCCTCTATTGTCTCAAATCAGATGGAGCCCACACATCAGGGTAAACTCTCTTTGAAACTGTGCACACACAAAGGACCAAATGGCTACTGTCTCCTCCTTTTTAGATGAGGAGAATAAAGCAAAAACAATTTGGTCAATTGTGTCTAGTTTTCACACGTAGCCTGGAATGAAGGTAGCCAGCAAGACTGCGAGGACCAGGAAGAGGAATGAGCAGGACAAAGGTTAGAAATGTATCAAATGCAAAGCTTGAGCCTGAGGGAAGACAATGAATGCACCATGAGCCAGGCCTTTTCCTGTTGCTCTGTTGTGTTGAGCGTCTACGTGTGCCTGTGCGCACATGTGTCTGCTTGGAAGAGGAAGAAAAATATCAGCCAGCGTGTCTGTGTTTTTCTCCTGAACTTGTGTGTTTTGGCTCGGTGGGGGATCTGAGGTGAAGGGCTCTGAGCGAAGGGCTCATTAGGATCTCTTAAGCGGAGCTAAGCTATCACCAATCAACAGACTGTTTAGACAACATCACCACAGCAACTATGGCCTCCACTCCAGAGTGAGAGCTGCTTACTTTTCAGAATGTTCAAAACGGTGAGTATATAAGGTCAGTTTCAAAGACGCCGCTGTATTCAAGTTAATTTACACAAAGTATCAAGTTTAACATCAGGATGTTACTGGAAACTCATATGGTCACACGCCAGACCAATCAGCCCAAACCCTAAACTCCGACCTGAGGTGGTGAAGTGAGGGCGTGTGTCTTCCTCCCCTCTGACCACAACACAGACACCCACATCTCCTCCTTCATGTTGGCCTTTCAGAGGTTCCCCTCAGAGGGGGCGGAGCTAAGAAGGGCTGGTAGCAATTACTGGTGCTCTGCATCCATTTAACCCTGCCACCTTTTAACAGCTCCGTTTACCCATTAGAATAGTAGCGCATGTTATTATTGTTATTTTATTCTCAAAAGCCTCTCCTCTTAGTGTCAGTCTCAGAGCCGTAGGACGCAGTCACAGAATGGCTGCCGCGCTTCCTGCTCTGTCAAAAAGGAAATGCAGCGGCCATTCTGTCAGCCGGGGGCAAGGAGTTTAACACGTGAAGAAATTTATCAACTCTAATGTCTTGCATAAGCAGACTCAAAGTGCTAGTATCAACAAAGTAGAAAAACAGAGACTTGTGGCAACTGTTTGGTCTACAAATGTTCCACGTCTATTGGGTAATAGATGGCAGATTTTAGAGTTTCAGCAAAATTATAAGGATAGTCTGTTTGGCTTTTTCCTTGAGAAATAAATAACCTGGTTACACCACAGAAGTAATCACGTCTACTCCAACTGTCAGAGAACTGACGGTATCCAGAGAGCCGTGTATTTGTACACATCTGAGTACAGTCACACGAAAACAGAGGTATTTAAAAAAAACAATTGGTGTGCACTGTGCAAGCTTTGGTTTCAACAACAAGGCATGAGCGCCATGGAAACCCTGTGAAAATGTTGACATTTCTGTGTCCCTGTGGCCTGTCTGATTGGAGCAGTTCCGAGTATCAAAGCAGGACATCAGATCTGACAACAAACACAGACATTTATCAGTTCGCTGCAAAAAAGAGAATGACAGTCTGGGTGAAAAGGACTTAAAAATCAACCAAATTAAAGAGGGACTGGAAAATCTTTGAGTATTATTCTGCACGGACAACGAGAGAGCAGGCAGAGGATGGGAAGGTCAGATACTTGAGCAACACAAAGCTTGAAAATATACATATAAATACTGAAATGCTCAGTTTAAGTTGAATATCAGCATTGAAGAGGCCACTTTGAAGGCCCAGTGAGTAACTTTTACTCCTACAGGGTCAAACTTAAACAAAAACGACTGCTGTGAACATCATAGTTTGATGTTCTGAAACTCACTTTACTTGCATAAGTAGCTTTAAAAGTAATTTTTTTTAAACTTTTGCAACATTTTTCACACTCCTTGTATCAAAATAATAGTGCACCTGTAATGATGTAGTGGAGTATCAGCACAAAGAAACATCAACAGATCAACCTGATTACATTATAAGTATGTCGGGCTTATACGTTAGTTTCATTCCACTAGGGCTAGGCGATATGGCCTCAAATAAAGATCACGATATATCGAGCAGTTCACCTTGATAACGATAAATAGTCAATAACTACTCCACAAGCTGCTCATCCCCTCCCACATTAACTTCGTCTACTTCAGCCGCTACAACTTTTGAACTGTCCTCCATCTCCTCACCTGCCTTTCCCTCTTTGTTATGAACTGGATGGGGTGGAGTCACGCCGGCGTAGACCAGTGTCTTAAAGGGTTATGAGACCATAGCCTACCTACACACATCCAAAATCAACTTTCATTTATTCATTTTTTTTTTTTACACTGAATATATTAACATGAGCAAAATGACGTAAATTTCGGTATCTGTAAATTTTCGGTTTATCGCTCAGCCCTAACTCCACCAATGAGGATAAACTGAACAACTGCGAATGTCACGGGCCAAGTAACAGCAAACAATGATAGTGATTACAGCTATTACAGTTTTTTTTCTCTTATAGTTAAAGAGCAGAAAACCATCAACACAATGACTACATTAAACAACTTGGCCGAGCCTCTTCCACAGGTTTACATCCAGAGGAAAGCAGAACGTCCCGCTATGAGTTCCTTGCACTTGAGGGCAATCTGGATAATTACTGCTAAGTACACAAAAATGGGGGCTTGAAAGTTTCAATGGCAATCCTTGATGATCATCCAGTAATGCTTTTAAAGACAGCATGAAAAGGAGGAGTGGAGGGAGGGCAGAGAGAAAAGCAGAAAAAGAGCTGCCCCGGGGTAAACACAGCTCCACAGCCTTGGAGTGAGATGAATGGGAGGCCGAGTGTCAGGGACAGGCAGACAAACAACAGCTTCCCCTCCGTGCTAACATCTCCCCACCAAGCTCCGGGGCCACCTCCATTATACTTCATCTCCCCTAATCCAGAGCATGGAGCAGAGCTGTACTCGTTCCTCCAAAACTTTGCTGAGGAGGAGGAAAAAAAAGGAAAAGAAAAACACTGCTGCCAGTCCCTTTAAGCGGTACAGTGGAGGGGAGGAGAGCAGCAAAGAGAGGAGGGGGAGCAGTAGTCTCTTATCCTCTGCCAAGGATTAGATCCCCTCCAGCTATTAGACGATACCAATGAACTGATAGGCTGTGGAGCTGGAGGTAGAGGGGGGCCGCGAAGTCTGTGAAAGTGTACATTGTGGTTATATGTGTGAAAATTTATGAATAAACTTTCTTGTTTGAGCTTAAAATCTGATACTAGAAAGGATGAAAGTTTCTTTTGAGACTTAAAACATCAAAGTGGCAGTAAAGTAAAAGCCTTCCTTTCCTGTCTGAGGCTGGTATGACTTTAATTCTGTAGACAATAGTTACTACCAACTGACTCAAACTCCTGAGCAGGACACATTTAGGCTGGCGTCTGGGCTATCGCTGCCATCAAAGTCGGCTTTATCAGACAGACACGCTAACTGGAGCTGCTCTTATATGTCTATGGATTTTTTTCCCCTGAGGTCTGGCCTTTTCTCTGCAGAAAGAGAGATAGAGAGAGAAAGAAAGACAAGAAAAGAAGGAAAAAGAAAATGCTGTGAGAGCCGGAGAAACTGAATCCAGTCACCAAGCCTGGCTGGTCACAATGGGAATGCTATATTGTCATCCACTTCCTCTCCACTTTCCCTTCATTTCTGTTTCAGGACGACCCCGTGAGAGAGGAGAAGTGCTGAACTCTTGATGGCAGATAACTAACAGAATCCATAAATTAAATCAATAAACTACAGAGGGTGTAAAAAGAACAGGAAGCAAAAGAGGCTAATATGAAGGAGCCGTCTGGGCGCATGAGTGAGAGCCTGCTGGTTTGAGGGAGGAGGCGTTTTTCTTCTTTTTTTTTCCTCCTTTTTCTTCAGGGAAGAGAATGTGCTGCTCATTTCCTCAAAGTTTCCTCCACAGCTCTGCAATGTGTCAGAGACATAGAGCACAAGTGATGGCGGTGATGCAAGCGAGGCCTCGGAGAGTCCTTCAGGGTGTGTAAAAAGGCTCTGTGAAAACTGTGGGGGTATGTTTGTAAATGTCATATCCACAGGCAGCGTCAGAGAGCGGCGAAAGTCCGAGCGAGCACCAAAAAGCAAAACACTCAGCGAACATCCTGCTGGGTGGCTGTGCCCCTTCACCTCCTCACACAACCTATCTGTGTGTGTGCGTGTGTGTGTGTTTGTTTGTGAGCACGCATGTGTGTGTATGAGGGAGGTGCGAGCCAAGAAGGCTGGAGTGTTTGAGTAGAGGAGACCCTGCACATTCCTGAACTCCCCCCTCCTCCCCTCGCTGTGCCTCCTAACTTCCTACTCTGGTTAGGACTGTGGGGGGTGGGGGTGCAGCGAGAAGGTTGCTTTATTTCTTGTCCTTTAAGGATCTTGTTGTTAGTCCCTAAATTCTAACTTACAAAGTGTTGCATTTGAGGACTCCAACTCTTAACACGCCTTCTGATGTTATAAACTTGGTCTTTATTCAAACTTTTCCTTAGCGGTGGAAAGACAAACTCACACAGAGGGACTAAACCCAACTTAGCTGGACTATATGCTCAAACTATGTTGAAAGATTGGTTTCGAATGAACAATAACAAGAAACTCTATTATTACGCGTTATATTGGTCTGACTAATTTAAGGCGAAAGGTAGGTATTTGGTTTCTAAAGGGCTGGGAGGTGGGCTGGCTAAGATGGACAGAGTTGCCGTTCAAACAATGGTTTCCTATTGATCGGCCCAGTGGATCAGAGTCTGTGAGGAGAATGTGTTCTGTCAGGATAATGTGGCACTGGAGTTTCTGTTTCAATCACAACACTTGCTGGACTGTAACCCACACTGCTCCACCACGGGCATCCAGACACCAGCTCCCTAAACAAAGACAACTGCCCCCCCACCCCACCCACCACCACCACCTCCCTCCATATCCCTGACAAGTTAGCCCGTTCACAACAAGCGAGACATTCATTAAAAATGCAGGAGTGAACATTTCCAATAATTCACAAAGTCCTTCCCCTGTCAACATCTGCAAAAAATCTTGAAGCTAAAGGGAATGGCAGGATTTCATTAAGTAAATTATGTGCTGGCAGTCACAGAGAAGGGAAGAGGGGGAAGCTACAGCCAGACCTCTAATCTAAACCGTACCCTGAAATGCGACAGCCTGACTGCACATACTGAACCACACCGCCAAGACTTCAGAAATGTACACCAATAACAGAATGAGTGAAACACACATTACGAAAGTCAATATCAGTCCCCCTGTAGGGCATTATCAATGAAAATACGCATCAATAGCTACGACTTGCAAAAACTTGAGCCCAGAGTACCATCTGCCTTTTTGGGTTATGCTTTGTGTAGCAACAACCTGAGGACATATAAACTCAATATAGCTTGGACAGAGCAGTAAATTACGCTGTAATAGACAATCTGGAGCATTTTCCTGCACTATCACTCAAAGAAAAAGATTCTTCACTCAGATTTAAAAGGCATCGTGTTTCGGAGCCAAGATCAAACGCTCCAAACATCTGTCTGATACATGTCTATCATACTTGGCCCCATGTTCGGACAAGGGAGAGGAATGAAGATGCCGCTCCAGAAGATCAAGTATGAGATAAGAGATGGGAGGGGAAGAAATCAAGTCCCAGACGCTGAACATACACATCTATAGATGAGGAAAATACAGAAGACCTTGCTTGGAACATTGAGAGTTTGCTGTTCAGCCTTCAACAACGAGCTCCTATCTTTTCCCTCGGGCTGTAAAAGGCTTGTGTAGAGATGTCGACTGACATGGGCCCCAGCAGTTAATCCACACACAGCATTCTGGAGGCTCAAAGAATGCGTTGGCTATTCTGAGTTTTAAAAATACTGACAGCCATAGGTTCAGGCACAACTGTCAATGCTCCTCTGGGGAGGAAGGGGGAAAAATCTTCAATCTATTTTCGCCAGCAATCAGACCACAAGGCTAAATCATAGCTGGCTGTGGCCGGTGTCTGGATTTATAATTGTGGGTAAAATGGTCAGAAAATAAAAACAGCATCCACAACTGGCACCACCTTCCCTAATGCTTGCCAGGCATTGCAAGGCTAGCACATTTACAGTGGCCTGCTCAAATGGAGTATTGTTCCCCCTCTCAGCCTTGAGAGGAGGCTCACTAAAACACTAAACTAACAGTTGGACATTCCTTACATTTTTAATGGCATTGCACGCTCTTTATTTGTTGCTCTAACCCTCTGCCCTGAGCTGAATGAATGGAGCTATTGGTGCAGCTCTGCGGTGTGAAGGAAGAGAATATGGTAACAGCGGCCCTCCCTGAGCACACGACAAGATTAGCTCACTTACTTTGTTTGCTAAGGTAGAATATGGGGCAAAAATTATAGCTTGTGCACACCTCCTGTTATTTCTACAGACTCTATCTGTGTGGTGAGCCCTAAAATGAAACACAGATCACCTTATCCCGGCTCAGCACAGTATGCTCTGTAAATTCAAATGACAAGCGCAGCACTGTGAGCTCGAGACTCATAGCTGTGTATGAGGCTGTAGATTTATCTTTATCTGTGAGCCCTTCAGATGTTAGTCAAACACCCAGCAGCACTGGCACCACACTGGCTTGCCAAGCGGACACAGATTAATACTAACCTCAGCAGGCAAGTTTATGTTGACATGTAAAGGTTTTTAGGCCTCTCCGAGGGCTGCTTTAGATTAGCATGGCTCTCACTCCGCACGGAGAGGTCACATTACCTCACTGTGTCTGGGGCCTGTGTTGCCAGTTATGACTGAGATTCAACTCTTCAAGAAAAATCCGTGAAGAAAGTATCCCGGCACAGTTGCAACTGCATTCATATTTCCTGAGATTCCCTAGAAAATCGAGTAAGTGATTTTTGTAAATATGGCGAATCTTTCCTTGGCTCCTATCTTAAGATTTTGGGAGGAAAAAAATTGGAATACAAAGAGTAAAAGATCCTGATTCATAATGTTACTGCGATTCAATAGATGTAGAGCAACCTACACTGTAATCATTACACAAAGAACAGCACAAAACACACAACATCCGTCCAAACACAACAAAAAAACAACTGGGTTATGCACTCTATTGAGGATACTTGATGTCATAACCCCAGAGAGAAACTTGAAAGTGGATTTTGGACACACCACAGGTTAACAATGCTGAGAAAGGGAAAATGAAAAATGGCCTTATCGCTCTTATCAATGGCTCTTTTTCTATGTGTATGTGTTACGTAAGAGGAAACGGAAGCCGGCCTCCCATGACAGGAATTGATACTTGAGACGAGGACTCTGGGTACAGGCCCTCCACCACTACAGAGAGAATGGAGCACAAGACCCTTCAGGATGTATAGCTACAACCCTCCGCCCCCCCAGTTTAAAATGGACTCTGTGAACTGGACACGACAAACGGGATAAGGAGAGCCCCATGTCCCCCAAGATGCTGGCCTTCTCTTTAACATTCCTCAGTCTCCCCCCACTGTCAAAGGGGCAATTCACCGCCCTGCGCAGCTACAAAACCCAGGCAGCTTTTTAAAACAGGATGTTTGTCTGAGGCCTCCTTCCCCTCAAATAAACAATCCGCAAAACCTGATTTCGGGAGGCAGGGTGGAAGCACTCGAGTCACATTATTTCCACATCCCGTATCCTGGAGCATTGGGGCTCCTGAGGGAGTGTGGGCGGCCAGGCGCTGGGAAGGCTCAGGGCTGCGGTGGAAACCTGAGGCCAAGTGCCAGGGGTAGACAGGCTGGGGATGCATCACTCCATGGTCTAAGGGACAGAGCGGAGGGGGGATCATGCCCTGCTAACACGCTGATGCAGTTGTCACTCCATCAGTTCATCCCTCTGTTTGACTGAGTTCGGTGCACCGCTGCACCGGCAGGCCAGCTAGTCCGCACAGCAAGAAAAGACCTGCTGAATACACTCACCAATCACACACACACACACTACTTAAACCGCACGTATTCATTCGAATTCAACCCAAATGATGCGTCCATGGATTTAAGTGCATGGATTTAAGTGTGTTGAGATGTCATCTTTATTATGTCAGTCAGCATCTCTATGACTGCTGTGAAATGCAGGGAATAACAAGTACTGAAAAACAGAGCGTCAACCCTTCAGTGCTAATTATGCTGCGTTCATGTAACCTCGGAAGTCAGATGTCCGAGCTGGGAATGACGTCACACCTGAGTTACCAGCGTTTCAGTTACCAAGTCAGAAAAAAGCAAAATCGGAGGCAGAAACAAGATGACTATATCTACCAAAGTTATTTCAGCGCTTGTTGTTTTAGTTATTTTAAGTTATTTTATCATCCCCTTTCGTAGATGTAGCCTCCGATTTTGCTTTTTTCCAACTCGGTAACTGAAACATCATTCCCAGCTCGGACATCTGACTTCCAGGGTAACTTGAACGCAGCATTAGATACAAAAAGTTTTTAAAAATGTATACAGTACTTTTCCTAATTTGTCATTGGTTTCTGCTGCACAATCTTATTTTAGGAGTAAATGTATCTGGACTTGAAATGTGCAGCCTTGGGAGGAAACGTGTAACTGAAAAGTAAAAAATAAAACAGGAGTGTGCAGGAGGGTTTCTGCAGCACAGTTACCTGCATGTCCTTCAATGAGTGATCTCCTGTGTGGCACACTGCAGGCCTTTCCTGTCTATCACCTGACTCCCATGTTCTGTCTGGGAGAATCACTCATTACCAAGGTGGACAAGACACAGTACCTGTCTGCAGACGAGACATCTGCAGAGACAGCTCTGGCTTTCCCTCAGAGACAGACGGGCAGATGGAGCAGAGCGCTGTGTGATGATTACTGTGTGAGAACTCTCACTACCTGCTCGTGCCCTCTTCCCTCCCTCCGGTAAGGGCAGCAGCACTCCGGGTCATCCTTGTCTAATAACTTTCAATCTTTCCGCTCCCCCCCCTGTCCAACTTTCCTACACTCCTCTCAGGGTAGTTTAGGAAGAGAGGAAAATGAGACAGGGACAGTGCCTCAGGTCACTCTGCATGTCCTGTAGTCACCTGACCCAGTAAATCTGAGGGAGCCCCTTCATTCACATCAGTGATCTCACCTCACACCAACATGAGCGTGTACACACAGTGTTATGCTGACAAATTCCACTGGGTTGATTGAGGACACAACCTCTGAAGACTGAAGAATGTAGGCAGACTGGAGCCATGACGGCTTTCATCCTGTACAGAGGGAGGGCCTACATCATATGTTAATCACCACTCACACGCTGAAAAAACACCATATTATCAATGACTGAAATTCTTTAACAGCGATGCATAAACATCATAGCATGCAAGCCTGAGCTGGCGAGGAGTGTCGTAATGAAGAAGTGACAAACATAAAGAGCCCCCGATGTCAGAGACAATGTGACTGACATAATAAAGTCGATGTGTAGGGGGAAAACACCCCCTCAGACAGTCATACAGGAAGCAATGAGACCTGCTTCAAAGGGCTTTACTCTGATGTCCACACGACGAGGCCCAGGCACTGAGGAAACAGGTGTGAGGGCAGTCTAGGAGGGTAGCACCAGCAAAGGCGCATTCCCTCACACACGCAGCACTAAGGTATACAGTGTATGCACAGACTCAGAAGCTGGGTCTGCTCATGACGTAGGCAGACATAGCTGGAGTGCCTGAAGGAGTTTTTTTTTTCTTCAAAATGTTCAAAAAGGCTGTAAATAATCCAGGTGTCAAACATTAAATCTACACTAAGAAGTCAGTGTGTGTATTGACAATATACTCCAGATTCTCATTACATAATTCGGTTGTTAATAAAGTGTGGTTTTACACTCCACTGAATAAATGTATAGTTTGGGATATGTGGTAGAACAAGCTTATTTACCAAACAGACCAGTTCCAATCAGTCCCTCTGCTATTGTACGAGTCAGAAGAATACTCAAAGGGTATTTCTGTAGCCCTGGGCTGCAAACTGTAGCTGATTATTTGACTACACTCCACCCATCCACCAAGTGCCCCCCAGACTTGCTTTTAAGAGGTTTACTTGTTCCTGGATATGGGGTGGAGTCTGGATCCCATACAACTTCAGTTACGCTCACACAGACACTCTCTCTGCACAAGCTGCAGGGGGATTCACAGGGAAAGTCATCTCCAGGTCAGCAACACATTCAACACACGACAATATGCAGCGCGGGCCTGTATGTTAAAGCAGAACTAAGTAGGCTCTACAAGGAGACCTTAAGGCTCTTGGTCTCATGATGGTATACTGTGTGCTGCTGTGCGTGACAGGCTGGGACAAATACTTTCAGCCTTGTGGATGTTAAAGCGAAGAGTAACTGTACAGTCAAGATGAAAAATGATCAGAGACAAACTGGCGACACCAATTAGCTCACAGCTCAGAAAACTACCACCCTGTAGGGCATTGGTCACCCTCGATCTTGTGTCCGAGTGGATGAGTGTGTCAGAGCCCGAGCAGAACGATACAGCCCTGCCTAAACAAGCAGCAACACAGTTGGGAGAAACCAAAGCCTTGCATGTCAAGATCCTCCCTCCTCACCACAGTCTCTGAGGAATTGTGGTGCGCGCTTTGACAAGCCCCTCATTTGTTGACTCAGGGAGTGTCGCCGGGCCATGCTGAGGTGGTGACAGCATGTGTACTGGGGAGGAGGGGGCCTTCGCGGACTGAAAACTTCACTGCCAGGTAGCCATGTCAACTGCTCAATGTCCAAGCCTCTGAGCTGTGGCAGACCCCAGAACAGGAAATGCTGTTCCCTGCAAGTCCCAAAATGAGAGCTCTAACTCCTGGTCCACATGATACTGTGCATGCTAGCAGCTACGAAGAGGAAGGCATGCTTACTCTTTGCCACGAGAAAGGAGTGTTTCATTTCAAATCAGAGGACAGGACTGTTTTTACCCGCTTCCTTTGGTGTGGCCCCATTCACAGGAGCGACTCAATTTCCCTGAGCCCGCCCCTCCTCGCAGTCCGCTTAAAGCCAGGCTGGATAGAGTTGTACGTGCAAGTGACCGTGCACATGCATGTGCACAACTATGTGTGCTTGTGTGTGTGTGATTCTGAGTGAGCTTGGATCTTATTACGGTTTGATCCCACTCAAATATTTCTGAAAGAAAAACAGAGGAGGGGAGGCCAGCTCTGAGGCCAACACACACGCCCCGCTGAACCTCTGCAGCGCTCACAATGAAACCTTTATCTTTAAAGCTCTGACTCCCTGTAATAACCCTTAATGAGATGGAATAAAGAGCAACATCAAAATGAAATGACCTTCCTCAGTTTGCATATTTATCTTGATACGCTTAATGGTCATCCGGAGTAAAGCACACGATTCTTGTTGAACCAGAGTCTAAAAAACACGACACTTCACTCCTTTTTTTTTCTTGATTGTGACCATCTCAAAGCCAAACAAGTAAGACAACAAAGCAGTTTAAAGGGTTATTAAAACTGCATGACGTGATACAGTAATTCAACAACAACATGCAGCATCAAGAAAACCCATACGCACTGAAAAAAATTACAACTTTCTTTCCACTTTTGACGAATGATTTGGACAGAGCAAAGCCACAAGTTTCCAGGAGAGAATGAAACAAAATATTTTCACCCAGAAAAAGCTCATTCTTGACTACGGTAATAAAACATGAAGTGTTTACTCAAGCTAGTTACCGTCGTACCGGCCTTTCTATCACACAGCCGCTCACAACAAAGTCAAAGAAAATCTGTAAAATCTAAATATTACAAGAGGACATACTAAAATCACACTTCCACTGTGGACAGCATTTCACCATCCAACACGACACAGAAAAACTCCGACAACAGCACCTATGAACAGACAAAACCTGAAATTCCTTCGAGAAACTGATACTATCATTTGATAATTATTTCACCTTCAATGTGAGATGACTTCAAAGAAACCATTACCATCAAAATCAGTGGGAGATTAAAACTCAGACATAAACTCCTTAATTGGAGCCTGACAGACAGTTGAAGAAACACACCCACCTGAGAATTCCCCCGGTGTGATGTTTGGTGAGCTGGCAGCCTCAGTTTCAGTGTACGACAATGTGGAGTCTGACAGATCTATGGGTGGACGACACATAAATTAGCTCTTCATCTCCAGTTTATGACAACCTCTTACTAACCATCTACCAAGACTTAGAAACAGTTCTTTCATTCTAGATAAACCTGCTCCAGAGCCCAAGCAACCCCAACTATGTCCTACACACAATACAATACAAATCTGTTATTATGCCACTGCTGACTTCAGTCTCTTCTACTTGTGCCCAAATACAGATGTAACAAATCTCCATGTTGGTGTTTATTTTTGCAATTCAAGCAGTATTTAGATAAGCTCTGAGAAATGAGGATAAAATGAAGAGAATGATGTTAGTCTGTGTTTTGTCTCTTACCCAGTGGCTTGTGTTCTTCGTTAGGGGAAAGCCTCGAATAAGGAGGTGGGGGTGACTCTGTAATACAAAACGATCATGTCAGTAAGCTTACAAAGTGGAAGAAAGTTATTTATCAGAAAATAAAGATGAAACTCAATCCCAACAAAGTAGCGAAACTCAAACCTGTGATATACAGGAAAACAAAACATATCCCAGGCTACATGTGAAGTACTACAGCTTTGTGTCTGCAGTGCTGAATTAATTCATTCTGTTTGAAAGCTCATTAAAAAGCTAATAAAGCCAACTGAAAACTGCATATTTGTTTCAGGCAAGAGTTAACTCTTTAACTGCAGCAGTTGTTGCACCGACCACTGAGACTACTCACAACTTTCAGAGATATATCCCCCCAAAAATCTCTGCTTTTTTAACTTCATTGTGTTCACAGACCTTGATTTATCCGACAAAGAGCAAAAGAAGAGAAGAAAATCGCTGGCAAAAGAAGGAAAAGCACAAAGGAAAGAAAAGTTTGTGAGCACACTGTGACCTCGCCTACAGGGAAAAGGAGAGGGAGAGAGCATAATAGCAGCGGGTCCTTTAAGAGTGGCGGCAGTAATTGCTGGGATCTGAACTCAGTCACTCAGATACACAGCTAGTCAGTCTGGCGCCAGTAGTATGCAAACTGTATATTATCACCACTCCTTCACCTAAATAGCATGAGGGGACCTCCTTAGGACAAAAGGGCTTTTAAAGCGCAACTTGAAACTGATCTCATCTGAAAAGTAGAATGCCTTACAAAATACAGGACAAAGTTTTTGTCTTTTTCAATCGGAGCTCAGTGAAACACATTTGAACTGATTTAATTTCTTTAAACTTCTGACCTGGAAACCTTCAGCAGTAGATTCCTGTCAAATAGTCTTCAAATCAGTTACAAACAGCTTTATCACATCCTGTTTTTACATGTAATTAAAATGTTTTGAATACTTACTTCATTTGATTAATGTTGTAATCTTGTTGTAATTTAATGATTTTTGCTTTTCCATTTGCAAACAAGGTAAAAAGCCAGGGATAGAAGTCTTGATTCAAAGTCCCTGTTCTTGAATAGCATGAAAGAAATACCAGCACTATCGGGCCACGCATGAGCGCATGTGAGCTATGTCTACTACAGGCCTCAGTCCCAATATGGGGTATGTGCCCCTCTGCCTCTTCTTACAGGTCATCTTACTAGTTTTAGTGGAAAGAAATTCTTCAAACACAGCGTGACCTCCACTTCATCAAGGAGAACTTCATTCCTGTTTTTGCTATAAAACATATTACTTGGTTTAAGACTTGATGTGGAGTTCTATAGGAGGACTTTTATTATAAAGAAAAGCTGGTGGGACGACATGAGGGTGAAGTCAACATCAGTTTCCTACATTTGCAGACCATGAATTCTGATATTGCTTGACTTCTGACTTTGAAGGGCTCGTCACAGCCAGCTGGCTCTGGTAAACATGGATGTTATGGAAAATCCACCTCCTGTGCCAGTGAGACAGAAATACCGACGCTCGCATCTTTACACATGATACCACACCTTGTCATCAGGTCAGCGGGGTCGAGTGGACCAGTGCTTAAGGTTTGCCAAATCACAGACCTGACCCCCTGCCAAAACTCTGTTTAGTGTAGGTCAGGGAGGTTCTGCCATAGATAGCTAATTGATTGTGGAAATATGGCTCAACTTTCTACTACAATAACAACTTCACTGATCTATGGCACCAGGTTCAAACCTCTGGGTGAGTCTACACAATCATAAACTGTAAATGTCATACACTGTTGATTGATTTGCCAACCTAGTAATGACCCTACACTAAAACAGAGGTGAACTCAAAACACCTTCTGGAGGCACGTCAGATGATGAACCGAATGGAATTAGGGAATATGTTAAGTAATAAACCTACAAGACTATCCAAAATAAATTGACTTTGCAGACTCTTTGCTGATGATGCAACATTTCACTGCCTAAATGTAACTTTCAAGGCGCATAAATTGTTTAAAGTGACAAAAATATTAAAAAAATTAATTCTGGCTGACCTATCAGGACTGCCACAAAATGACAATGTTCCACAGTGGTTGGATTAAAGATTATGTCTACTCAAAAGTGGGTTTGTTATTGTTAAACCTCCCACAGGGATGACTTTTGTAATTATTAATCTGTGTTAATCTATTAATCTGTCTGTGTTTAGAAGTAGAAAAAAAGAAAATAAAACTGGAACACAGGAAAGGCTTTTCCAAGGATATTTGGTGGCCCTGATAGTCTTCCAGTGTAACAGGATGATTTAGTAGCATGATAAGGAAGAGTAACAAGCAGAGAAGAGGGGATCCAGTTGAGATTTTTTAGAGAAAACCTAAGCTGGAGAAACAAAGCTGCCTTGTTGTTAGCTGAAAAGAGACTACCTTGGCCTCAAAGGTAGGCCTGTAAGGTGCTACATGAAAACGGTGTTTGTGTGCTGACAGAAGCCCTTACCTGGCCCACAGAGCCGGCTGTAGTGATAGGGGTTGCAGCATACTGTTGGACTTTCCAGGGCCCCAAAGCTCTTACACTCACAGAGCGGCTTGAGCTGGGCAAGGTGCTGGAGGTCGGACCAGCGGTACAGTTTACACACAAGCAGCTGAGGGGAGGCCACATGGCCGCCCAACCTCAGCTCTGTCCGGGAAATCATAACACAGTCGCTTGGCATCCCTCCCCTGGACTCCACTGCCTCCAGTAAGGTATCCAGCGCCCTTTCCTTTAGCTTTTTTAAAAGAGAGTACGTGGCTGATTTCAGTTCTTGCTCCAACACCGTCCGTGGCATCGTCTCCGGCGACTCAGGAGAGCCGCAATCCCGCGGCGCGAGGCTCCTCAGCACGAAGTGACACGACCCCGGATCCCTGGTACCCTGAGCCGTGTCTGGACCCCTGAGCTCGGAGTGGTCCCGGTCTTTGAATAAGCAGCATGTTACTGTCCTGCATTCTCCGTCCTGTATGGAGCGGGGGCTCCCCTGCTCCTGGACGCACCCCGCACCCCCACCTTGGTCCGACGTGACCCCCAAGCCGCTGCTCTCCGCGGGGCTGCGGGTGCACTCACCCCCTGTGTCCCCTATAAGAGACCCGCTCGGGGTCATCGGTCTGAACTCCGTTTTGGGAATTTTCTCTGGGTTGTTTCCGAACAGATCGTCCCTACAGCCCTCACTACTTTTGCCATTTCCATCTTCCCCTTCGGTTTCTGGGATCAAACGGCTTCTCCAGAGTCGCCGCACAAGACCTGAGCGTTTCGTCCTGAACATACGACAACTTGAAAATCTAGAAGAGGGTTTTATTTTGTACGGATATACGAATATTACAGATGCTCCTCCGGTCGTTGCAAAACATTAATGTCTATGAAATGCCGTGCAATGCACGCACAGCCAACTGACAAGCATTGGTGACAAACCCGCAACATTAGACTGGAGGCGATTTTGTTGCCTCTACAACAACAAAATCACGCAATAAATGCACTGCAGCATTCCGATCAAAATGCATTCATGAAGTAGATTACACGAGTGGAACTGCGGTTTATGCTCCACAGTCGCGTTGGAGTTGTTTGTATATTCGTTACATATGCGGAAAAAGAGTAGAATACACAATAGTATGAAATGATAATCTGTGAAACATTATTCAAAGACAGAAACCTTTAACCCGAGACGACAAACTCGGAGCCTGGAACTGTTTCGGACTTTTAACAACAACCTCCAGTCTACTCTCTACACCGGCACGCAGAGCATGAGGTACTTCGAGGAGATTAATCCCAAGAAAATACACTGAAAGTCAGGATCCTTGTCTCAGAGAGGTCAGAGCTCTTCTTTTATTCTTTACAATCCCAGCGACATATCCATGCGAGGAAGCGAGCAGAAATTACATGAGGAGGAGGAGGAGGAGGATCAATCCGGGGCTGAATCGCGCTCCTGCTTCTCTACTCAGATCTAAAGCAAACTGCAGCCCCGATGTCTTTCTTTCTCCGTTTCTCTCTCTTTTTCTTTCTCCCCCCTCTTCCTCACACTCACACATACACACACGCACACACGGGGCCCCCGAGGAGAGCGGTGGAGCCATTGGCTGACTACCATCATGTGCTAGTCTAGACACTTTGGCGGCTGAGCTGCACTGATTGTAGCGCAAACAAGGCTCAAGTTTCTTAACTCTTAAAGGAGAAACACCCTCCTCGAGTTTTTAACTTAAACTTACTACAACTTATTTAGATCTATGCGACTGAATGGAGGCGTTATGGTCAGAGAAAATAACTTAAATTCACGATGTTACTGTCCCATTTTTCTTGAGTTTTCTTTTATGAGCACCGTGAAACTATTGGAAAATTGTATGATATGGGAACAGACCAAGTCTGATTTTGTGGCTTTAATGGGCAATAAAGACATAATATAAAGAAAACACATAATACCAGTTATTATCTCTCAAATCAAAAGAAGGAAAAAAAAGCTTATTAAATAATAGATGATGTGATTCTGTGAGGTTATAACCTTGTTAGCAGATCTGAGGGCTTGTGTGACTTGCTTTCAGTTTACTATCTAGTTAAGCATTTACAATAGACACAGTTATAAACAGCAAACCACTGACTGGCCTCAGATGGAAAATATACTACTGTCACAATAAAAGGTGCAGAAAGTTTAATGAATGATCACTTTTTTTAAAGTAAAAGGACATTACCAACTACTTGGACATCAAAATCTGCAGTTTAAAAGTCACTTTTATAAATGTCAAAATGATCTGATACTGCAGATTGGATTAGATTTTTCAGAGCTGATCAGGCTATTGCTGCTTTTAGATGAACAACTAACACATATTGTTATTAAATGATTTTTTTGATGAGGTTAGGTACTTAATGGGGGACGAAACTTTACACAACTTTGAAATGACCTCCATCATATAAGCCCGACTGCCTCATAAATTTGGCAATATCACAGTCTCGAATGTTTCAGTGCAATGGAGGAATGAAAAATGAAATGCTTCAAACTGAAAATATCAAAAGAGTTTGAGTTTATGGTTATATACTTATAAAAAAAAAACATAAGAGCACCTCTGGCTTCATGGTATGTGACAGAAAAACAATTCATGGTTTAACAAAAAGCAGCAAGTCTGACCTTTTGCTCTTTTAAAAATAAAGAGCATCATGTTGGCTGGAGACACAGTAGGTAAACTCTTTTTCACCAGTACCCCCTCAAGTCTGTCTCTACCGTATCTCCAGCTTCTTCTCTTGTTGGAGTGAACAACAGTGAACTCCTGTTTCTGTTTCTTCCTTATCTACATCTGCATTGAGGCTTTTGTTGCTTTCAAAAGGGAGAGTAAAGTAAAAGACCTAAAGCCTTTCATTCAAGTAATGTTTTCAGGTGTATTTGCATTCATGCACACAAATCTTATTCAGTGTTAAATTTAAAGAGTCAAGTAGCTGGGGTTTAATTTATGGTCATGTAAGAGTTAAAATATCCTGGCTCTGAAAGCAGCAAGGCGAAGCCACACCCCGAGATGTATTAACATGATCCAAGAAGCACAAGTTCAAGAGTACAGGCTGCTGATTGGTTAAAAAGCAGTGGAGCCTCCCCCCTGTTGGAAACAGTCACGCCCCATATTGAATTTGTAAATAGTCATGAATGAAATACAACTATTTCACAGTTGGTAGCATGCCAAAAGTATTGTTCCACTTACCCAAGACTCTTCACTCATATTACTCACATGATGCATCATTTTATACACCTAATTCTGTCAATTTCAAGTATTATTTTAAAAATTACTCACATCTGACAGTAGAAAAAAAAACTGAAAAACTTTATTTTAAAAGCACAGTTTAAGCCTGAGTCGTGAATCTAACGAAAATGAACGTGCCTTCTTTAAATCAGGTTTTGACATGTTTCCAACAGCTTTAAACACCATCACATGTGAATCTTTAAGTTGCTCTCAATCTCACTGTCAGTTATTTAAATTGCACTCACAGAATCACACACTCTCTGTATTCACTGAGACATCTCTGAAGCCTCCGCGTTGCACCTGTGGGGAGTCTGAGGTCTGCAGCCGCACACTGTGCCAGTGTCTGAACTGGAGTCATGTTTCCCTGGCAGCCTCGCGGCTCTGGGGCAGAGGGAGGTTACTGAGGGTGGACATGGAGGCCCTCATGCCTGCACTGTGTTAGAGGCACCTGTTGCAAATGCATTCCCCTTTGTAACTCAATCACATGTCAGACAAGGAAAAGAAAACTGTTATTACAGAGTAACGCTTCATTTAAATCAGTGTCATGCAATTTTCAATTAAGTCCGAGGAAAAACCCAGCTGGCTCATAAGTCACTGAGGCTGTCTGCTGTACTGTCTGAACTGCTGGAACAGATTCACGTGAAACAAATGTTTGACAGCGTTGGTAGCATGCAGACATTTTAGATGCTTTGAATCTGGTACAGCGTGAGTTACATACAGATGATCCAGTGACCCTGGTAGGGGGTCCTGACTCGGTCACTGTTACAGTGAGTTAAATATAGAAAGTGCAAGAATATCTGTAAAAAGGAAGATGACAGTTATCGTTTCTCCAACCAGTAAAAATGACATTATAATCAATCAAATTTTTACAGGGTTTCCTCCTCTGCTTTTTTTAAGTCTTCCTGACACTGAAGACGGTTCACTGGGTGAAGAGATAATAAAGAGGTTTAGACCATGCAGAGAGGAGGGGGATAACATCCTCAGATTAGACCATACAGAGTCATAGCACAGTGCAGGGATGTAAAGTTGAGGTATATGATGATATCTGATATATAACGCCTTTTGTAATTTTGACATTCACTAGAAATTTGACCCTAAAAGTTTGGGAAGAGACAAAAAGTTCCTGGCAACAAAGAACAAGTCATGGTGGGTTTCCAACAAGTGGTCTGGGTTGGTCCAGCATAATTTGGTAGGTTAAACCTGGTCTTACTTGAATTTTCAACTTCACCCTTGGGTGCTTCACACAGGAAGCCTGTTGGCAGAGTGACAGGCCCCATACGGCTTCATTTTCATTTTCATGTGCAACTAACTGAGCAGTCTGATCATACTGCCAGCGTGAGCTGCGTCTACATGAAGTGTGCACTTCACATGCAGGCATTATGCAACCATATTATCACCTTGTCCTGTCCAGTCCTGTCTTTGTATTGCATTTGACCAAAGAAGTCTTTGTTTTTGTTGAAGGGCAGTGTCAACTAATACAAGGAACAATTTCAGTTTTTAGCCATTACTATTACTGCTCCTATTCCAGCACCCAAAAACACAACAAACAGCATTTGAAGACTTCCTCTGTTGCCTTCTGCCCTGTGGTGGCAACTCATGTTTGCTTCCAGTTTTTCATCTTTTGCCTCCAACTTATTATTTGACAATATCTTAAGGACATCATCCTGAAGTCAGCTCCATGAGGGTCTTTACAAGGTTTGCCAATCAGTGAGCCACACATTCATCTCAGCAAAACAAGAATTGGTTAGTTGTGGGCTGTATTGGGTTAATCTCAGCTATGCTTACTCTATGTCTCAACAAGAAAAATAAGACATTCTCACTGAATCCTGTCGAATGGAAAAGCCTGATCTGTTTCTCCTCCCCATGTTTTTACACAATGCTTTTATTTTGAAGTTGTGTCCTGGAGCATTATTTGATAAATGATCTCACTTGCGCAGCTCTTTGAGCCTCTGGTGAATTTTTTTGGGAAAAAATTTTTATTGCACGCAATGTCTGCTGGTAGGCTATGTTCATTATCAAATGATATCAGTTTAGAGGGTAATATATTTTCTTGTGTGACTTTAAAACCCACGTCAATGCCCTTGTCGCTGCTCAGCTAGTGTCTGCGTGTAACCAAACACCCGTTTTCAAACAAGGTTGTTTCCTGATAAACCAACCCCAACACTGTCATGCCACCAAAAACACCCCGTGTGACTTTTTGAATCAGCTGTGATGAGCAGCCTGCAGTCTCACCAATTAGCATTGACATCCAAGAGTTTAACTCCATACCTGTTAGTAAAATATTAACAAAAACAAAGGAACAAAAACATAATACCAGGCATGAAGTGCCAGAGTAGAAAGATTCTGATCAATGCCTCTTGACATATGTAGTTTTTTTTAATCAATGAGCAATACGCAATAACTACTTCCTAAACTAGTTCATTTACATTAAAAAAGAAAGTCTAAGTACACACAACAAAGTTAAACTCAACTGTCACAGTGAGCACAAAACTGTTGAGCCAACTATTGCTTAAAATAGGATTGATGCTATCTCTCTGAAATGTTGCTGTGGCAGCTCAGTATGAATGTACAATCTTTTGTACCACATGATGGCCATGTGCTCCAGTCTTACAGGGCAATGAAAACCACCATGGCTTATACATAGAACACTCTGTGGTTCTACAAAGAACTTCATGGTTTTAAATTGGACGATTACTAGTTATATGGATTCACAACTGGTTCCTGTTGAAGCAAAGGGCAAAATTTTCACAAGAAACTAATGAGTCCACAATGCACCAAAAGAAGCTTTGAAGATCCATCACTTTTAAAACAGCCATTTAAAAAGCCACCAAAACCATCTGGCTTTTTTTTTTTTTTTTTTTGGATTGAAAAATCAAAGTTTTGGCATTTGAACTTTTTATCCTTCAGTCGTATCTGAGACCTACTCTCCTAATGTGTGCTACATGTGTGAAAGTGTGTAAGGAAAGACATCTTCAAAGAGTAAGAGGTAACCGAGTACGCGAATCTAAAACAGGGCGCAGCTGTTCACACAGGCCTGTCCCCTGGCCTGCCCCTCTCCCTGTGAAGGTCCAGGCCCATGCTACCCTGGAGACCTTTGGGTAATAATGCAGTGGTCACGCCAGCCCATCTCCTACTGACGCTTTGGACAAAGAGAGACAAGCTGCTCGCATCGAACATGGCAGAGATAGAACAACAAGATATAAAACAATCAAGCTTTGTTTTTTAAGTACTTTACAGCCCTCATATCTCCTGCAACAGCTTTGACAGAATAGCTGAGTGTAACAGTGGGATATCAGTGCTTCATTCACATTAGTACCATGACATCATGCCTGCAATAAATAACG